TGCAGTATGATTAAAAGACTGAGCTTCACACTATATGATACTATTCATATAAGCAATACCCAAAATGAGAAACATGATTGCTGTACTTACGATGACAGGCAGCTATCAGAATTGTGATACCAATGTTCTGAAATACATGACAAAGCTGTAGAAGGAAGGCAACATAGGAACGTTAGTGATGTTTTCATCCAATGTATATAGATTGCTAAGACACAATATGGATGAAGATCAAGAATCTAGTCTGCTTGCCCTTAGAATGATAGTCAGGTTACTTTCCAAAAGTACTTTAATTATAACTGTGTAGGAGATCTCAAACCATTTGGTATTACATGTATTGTCAGGACTTAGGGCACAGTGACTGCGAAGAAGCCTGGTAAAACTTGATTTCTGCTGATTATTTCTAGAGGTAAGATACAATTTCTCCTTTCCTGTTTGGCAAACAAGGTAATCTGTGGGAAGGTTAGAAATAATGCATATATTTTACATTTCTAATAGTGCAATCCTTTAAATACCTAATCTGAAAACAATCATATTGTTTGTCTACAAGTTTTGTTTGTTCAGAATTTCTTTTAAAAGTGAGCCAATTAAAAGCAAAAACAAAAAACAAAAATAAAACAAAAAACCCTCCTCTGAGTGATAGTATCATGCTTTTCTGCTTCCTGAGAGAATTGCTCTTAGCACCAGTACCAAGAGAGAAAGACCTCAGGCTCTCTTTCCCAGTGGAATATGTGTTCTTTGGTCTCCCTACCCATGCCTGCATGGAGATTCCGGAATAATCTCTTGTTTAAGCCTGCTGACAGTTCAGTAATTGCTCATTCCTGCCTCTGAGATAGTTTCTTGGGCAACTGGGCAATTTTACTAGTCAATTGGTATGGGAGCTCTCTGAGTGGGTTTAAACTTCCCTTTTTGTGTGTATTAAGCACAGGTTCTTCAAAAGTTCTTCAAAGGACCGCAGCCAGGGTGCAAATCTTTGTGTCAGAATTCAAGTGATTGTGATGGTGCTGCAACCTATTCTAAATTTTTCTTTCTTTCTTTCTTTCTTTCTTTCTTTCTTTCTTTCTTTCTTTCTTTCTTTGTAAGTTTATATCCCTCTTTTTTCTTATGAACACAAAGCAGCCTAAATCATTCTCCTTCTCTCAATCTTATCCCCAGCGCAACAACCCTGTGGGATAAGTTGGGCTGATAGTCTGTGACTGGCCCAAAGTCACCCAGTTGGCTCCATGGCTGAATAGAGACTAGAACCCAGGTCTTGTGCTCTTAATCACTACACCACACTGGCTCTCAAAACTGAAGTTTCTTCTTCTTAGACCCATGTAAGATGAAGTTGGTATGGCTTGGCTGAGTGGACTACCCTAGACCATTCAGAGCCAACAATAATTGATCACAGACAGCTTGCCATTTGGATTATATATATTAGACACATTCCTGTGTTCAATTTTTTTCCTCATCCTTGAAATGTATTGAAGACTTTAGACAGGTCACTATAAATTCTTGGCTTAGTCATGTCGTTGCAAGGTTTCTTGCTGAAGTCTGCCCTGTCTTAGCATACACTGCCATCTTTCCTTTCTGCTCTTTGCCTTTGTTGGATTTCATTCCCAGACCTTTCTGCTCTTTGTGATGTACCAATCATTTCACACCTACAATGCACAGGAAATATTATTCAGTTGATCTGATTCTGCACTAAGCTTCAGACTATTTTGGTTTCGGTTTCTGAGAAATCATTCAGTGTGAGAAGGTGAGCTGGGATTGAAAAACAGGCTACTTTTAAAAAGCAAAATGTCAAGCTAAGGACATTCTTTAAGACTTCCCATCACAAATGTGATTTTTAACCTTTGAATTCCTAATTTCTGTTCAACTCTTTTCCACTAACTATGTATGAACTATCTCATAAAATGCATATATTGTTGGACAACCTGTTAGACTGTTGTCTATTTTCTTTAGATTCTTCTTTTCAATATATGAATTAAGGACTGACATTACCATAAGGATTATGATGATGATGACATAACTCTTTTCAGTCCCTGTTTAGAATCCTGAGCTATTCCCCATTCTTAAACTCTAGCACATTAGTTTTAACTGTTTCACTTTAATGGGGCTATGTCTGCCTTCTTTTAATCAGTGTATGCTGTTTGCTGCCTCTCCTCATCCCATCAGACTATCTGCATAGTTCTTATGTTCTTTAATTCTTCTTTCTATAAGTGGGTTGACCTCTGAAACATTTTTGGCAAGTATCAATTTCACTTGTGTCTGAAAGTTCACATTAAACATGTTTCCCCTATTACTTAAAAAAATAATTAATGAAGAAACCATTCTTTGGTTTTCTAGCCAAAGAATAGCCACATGTCTCCTTAGACAACACACTTTCAGTAAATTTCAAAAACTGGACTGCTGAACATGAGTGGGCTGAGAACTGAAATATGTTGCTGGTCCTGCTGGAAAATAAAACTCCATGCTAATTCTCCATGGAGCAACTGCAAAACCATAAATAGTTTTTTAAAAATCACCATGTTGAACAGGAAGTGGCTGTCTAGATTACATTATAGTTTCTTCAAAGCTCTACAGTGATGTAGAACATTTGTGTTCACACATAATTTTAAAAAGGGAGGTCTGTGTCTTAGATATTTTAAATAAATATTAATAAATAACAAGATGTAGTGTCAATAAATGCCACAGAAGACCAGTTCTAAATAAAGCAAATATACTACAATAATTTGAGTGACATACCTCCCGTAATAAATAGGAAGCTTGTAAATCCACAAAGTGTACCATGCTGAAGTCTAAAATAATGGTGTGGATCACATATGTTGCAGGTTCTGAATCAAGTGGGTACAACTGAGTTGTGGATCTCGTTAAAGGAGGCTCTGAGCAAAGCCATAATTTGTTTAGCTCTTCTCTCCTCTTTACAAAGTCATGTCCTGTTGCCCTTTCTCTGGCACCTGAGATATGAATACATTCTGTATCGGAAGGGTATCTTTTCTCATTTCTTGTCCAACGTACCCAGGCCAGAGAAGAAGAAGAGAATGACTCATTTGCTGTGTGAATTCGTCTTAGAAGCTTCTCAGTATAAGGAACCTAGGATGCAAGATAGTTGAAATTCTAGACCAGGATAGGATGATATGGCAATATATTTATATGTTTTCTTCTTGTTATTAATATAACTATATCTAGTAACTACTGCATATATGCATGTTACAAATGTATATATGCAGAACATGGTTGCTTTAGACACCCAGAATATCCAAGAATTCTAGCATTCTCAATTTAATTATGCAATTTAGCATTATCAGAAAGCAGCTTAATTTTAATTTTTACCTTTATCTTAGTAACAAATCTTGTTTTGATGGATAGCATAGTGAACCAGAAGGTAAATAATCTGCTTACCTACTTACCTACCTACCTACCAGTAATACCATGGAGAATTATTTCTAGAAGATTAACAAAAGCTATTTTCCTACTGGTATACTTGTGTTTATTTCTGCAGCAATGGCTCCTTTTGTCATGCAGCTCTTTTGTACTGGGCTTCCTCGCAGAATGGATTGTGTTGTCCAGATTTAGAGGATACAACAAGAAGTTGTGGTATGCAGAAACCATACAGCAAGTCAAATTGTGTTTTCTGAGGACCTAATATACCATGTCAAAATGCCACAACTGCTTTTGAGTGCGAGAACGAATGATGATAAAACCCCCCAGCATAGCCAGTGTGAACTCAATCTGCACCTGAACTGTCAAGTTCAGAGCTCCCTTTTTAAAGGCAGAATTGGAGGGCTTAAATATTTCTGTGTTGTCAGGGAAGTGTACAAGAAGATAGCACCTACATATGTGTACAATATTTTGGCAAAAAAGAAAAACAGAGTCCTGAGCTTTGGGTAACTTAGGTACATGTCAAACTCCACACTCTTGCCAGTGGGGAATTCCTTCTACTTTTTAATGTTTCCCTGATGCTGGCATTGGGGGAACCCTTGCAACACTGATGGGTTAGTAGGGACACCTGATGTCTCCCAGAGAAATGCAAGAAAATGCTACAAAACAGAAGGAAAAAGAAAAAAAGATCCCCTTTGTGCAAATTGCAGCCACCTGGGGAGTTCCAAGCATCTGACAAGTTGGTACCTTGCAAAGAGGGAAAATACCTGTAGCTGGAGGAATGGTACAAATCCAGCAGGACTGGATTTTACAAATGAACACAGTTTATTTGAGAACATTATCATGACACTTTTTTTCAAAAAAGCAGTGCTTTTTTCGTAAAAAAAAAAAAAGGTGCCGGAACTCACGTCGCCACTGGCAGTAAGCACTCAGTGCGCGCGACCACACACACCAATCCCAAGCCCAGCAGCTCCCTCACTATCTCACTATCAGATAGCAGATAGCAGACACAAAAGCAGCCCGCAGGCACTATGTTAATGATGTTTGCTGCTGATCTGCTACGCCATTCAAAATCACTTCGTAAAATCCATTGGAAAAAAAGGTGCCGGAACGCCGTTCCAGTGCGTTCTATGACAAAAAACAGCCCTGCAAAAAAGCAAGGGCAAACCTATGGAGCCCCTGACTGAAGAGGTTCCTCATGGATGCCCACATGGGAACTGCAGAAACTGGACTGACAGCTGGCTTTGACAATCTCCTCCACAAAAGTTGTAAAAATAGAAGTCAAGCAACAGTAAGATGCAAATGTGTCATGGGCTGGTCCCTTCTCTCTCTTTTTCTGGTTATTAAACTCAGGACAATCTTAAGAAGTGGATTTTTTTTTTACTGAAACAACAATATGAATGCTTCCAAAGTTGAGAGAGAAGCATCTGCCTATGCAAAAAGTTGAATCTAAACTGGAAAATTCCTCCCTTCCCTTCCTTTTTGGTAAAGCTTCTGACACCACCCTCAGGGTGGCCTTTGATTTTTGGGGACAAGATGACAGGAACACCAGAGACCCACTAGCTGGGCAGCTCATTTCTCACAATGCCTCCTTACTGGATCAAGAACTGGGTCTCACATATGCTCCCGCTCCAATCCCGAAAACCACTTCCAAAGCAGGCCAATTCTCACACTCTGCCTGAGAAATTTCACCAGGTAGTCTTGAAACTTCAAAGCTCATGCTGCCACCCCCACCCCTGGTCTTCTACCTCCTCCTCAGGATCAGATGAATTTATCTGAAAAGTCTGTAATGAGTTACAGATGGGCCCGCTCTCTACAAAATGGCTTGTGGCTTGTTTGAAGGAAAACAACAATACAAAGAAATCTCTGACCCTGGGTAATGGTTCAGGGGGGTCACAAACACAGGCACAGTTCAAATCCTTGTTCTTTCCTTTCACACTAGACATACTGACTGAGATCAAGGCTCTCATTTCATGTTCATCAAGGGGCACTGCCTTCATATCCATCTGAAACAGAAACAGGGATTTTAATGTCAGCCATTGCAGTCTTTTTGAGTGCAGATGTTCTCTGAATCCCTACTTATCAGCAGGCGGGCAGTACTCTACCTTTTGTAAAATGAAGGCTTTGAAATGTTTCATATTTGCAGATGAGATGGAGGCACAGCACTGGAATATTTTCACACCCTGGATTTCCATGGCCTAAAAAGCAAAACACAGTGTGAAGCTTCACAAGAGGGATTTGCAGTGAAATGCTGCAGCCTGGTACATTTCTGTTGAGGATTTCAGCTTAGCCTTTTCAAGGATGCACCATTCCACTGTCCCACCTTGGTTTTTGCTGTTCTGCCTCACCAATAGTCAGTCAGCATTCCATACCCATTTATCATGGTCAAACACCACCTCACCTGGAGGGTCCCCCCCTTTTTTTCTTCTTTTTTGGCAGCTCTGTAAATATTGGGGTCCTTCCACAAGCCTGTTTATACCTCCTTCTTGGACATGGATAGTGCCATAGGGTCTACACTTGTGGAATGAATTTGCTGTGTATCATGGATGTACAAACCTTTTCACTCAAGGATCAAATACTATTTCAGAATAGGCCTTGGAGGCTGCATTCTAACAGCTAGTGGGCCAGTGGAGTAAGACCAACACCAAAACAATATTTTAGAATGGTAAGAAAATTACACAAAAGCTGGAAAACCACCAAATGATCAGTGGCCTAGGGAAAGAGACATGTTACTTGGTGAACTCTGGAAGGCTAGGTTTGGCCCCTGCACCTTAGGTTTTGTACCCTTGTTGTACCCTTGTATATAATTGGTTTTGTCAATGATAAAAAGAGTTATGAATAGTTAACTAGAAATCTACAACAGGATTTTGTTTAAGTCTCCTGCTGATGCTACTTTGAATGCCTTAACTCTCACCATATAGCATGATAATGTTTTAGAAAAGACCCAAAGGATTGTTTTATGGCTTGGATGCACAACTTATTTTTAAAACTTTAATTGAGTTATTTACTAATAATTATTTTCTAGGACTCTCTGAAGAAGAGCAAATTGTACATTTGGCATGATCCAATACTAGATACATTCAGCAAATAAAGTAGCATTTAGGCAAAGCTGGAATCAAATGTAACTATCAACACACCCTCTGTGCCATAAATGTGCTTGTATTGCAGATTATAGGTAAAAAAGGTGTTAGCAACCACTGTAGCTGTCCGGATGCCAGCAACTCTGCTTTTTCAAGTATGGCTCTTCATTATCAGTCATAATTTTAGTAATTATAGATAATGCACTGCGCAAATATCATTCTTGGACTTAATTGTACCTGACGAGTCCATTACAGGGGTACTAGAATGAGAATGATTATAACAAAGAATATTCATTCCCTCTGAGTCTCATTACCTCACAGTAGTCAGAAAAACTGCGATAAATATTGGTGTTTGGAATCTGACCCAATGTCAGCATCTTCATTCTGAAACAAGGTATAAGTTAGATCTCACTCCCATTTTTAGAGACTGTGTATAGCCAATAGTGGCAAATTTTAATCTATCCATTTCCCCCTGGAAGTACCCCTGAAATAATTTGTTTACAGAAAAGGAAGGAAACCATGATGGTTACTGACAACAATCCAACCTGGGATGTGGTTTCAAAAATGGGACTATCAGAACATCAAATGAGAGGTGGATAATATGGCCATTCTTAACAGGTGGGGGGGAATTAGAACTCTCCCAACATGATTCAAGTAAAAGTAGAATTATAGAGTTGGAGGAGCTTTACTGGTCATCTGGTGTAGCCCCCAGCCCCTGCTTGGAGAACATAAACAAGGAAGGGACCATAACTTGTCTCAGAAATTGGTTTGATTGTCAAAATGATCTCATCACCAAGATGTTTCATCTAATTTTGAAACCACATTTCAGTAGAATGTGATACTATGGCCATTAAAGTTTAATTTTAGAACTTGTCGGGTACTTTATGTGTGGTCATGAATGATTAACCTTGAAATGAGAAGATGTACCATAGATATCATCATTATCATTGCCTTATCATACTATCACAACTGAGATCAAGTGACAGAAATTATAACCTCATCAATGTTTAAATTACATTAATCACACCTCCCTTCTTCACAAAGAAATAATCTTCTGGGTACTTTTCTAATATACTCCTGCAACAACTGAATTTCTTTTTTTAAAAATACACATTTTTCTACAACCCCATGAGGCAAAACTACAATAAGAGGCAGTACCTGTGTGACCTGACACTTATTATGAAAAATGCAAATCCCATGGCAATTCCTAAGCCAATATCTAGTCCCAGACAGATTACGGCCAGAAAGGTCACAATCCAAATTCCCTTTAAGGAAAAAGAAAAGAAAAGACACAGGATCAATATTAATTACTTAACAAGCAGAAACCTGAAATAAAACAAGGTACAGTGTGATGGATGATGGTGGGATATTTTTTGGCTTACAGAGAATGAAAGCACTGAAAGATTTTTACATGTAGATTTAATGACTAAATGTAATGTGGAGTCCTCATATATGCTCCATCATTTAACCCTGCAGTCATATAGATATTTTTACATAATGTGTTCATCATGCAATCATGATTCCTTATGGTTTTTTGCAGGTTTTGTAGAGGACATAGTGATCCCCCAATTTAGCTTCTGTTTTGAGGAGAACATTCATTATTTTTTTTTGAATGGGAAAATGAGTCATTATTTTTGAAAGTACTATTTCAACTGGTAGTGCAACTGTGTTTGCACTATTCCACTATAACACAGGTTCACTCAGAGATTATATAGCTGAAAAGTTATTTGAATAGAGCTCAGATCTCAATTATCTGATGAAACCAAAAGTAGATATAGCAGCTAATAACTTTGTACAGAAAAGCTTGCACACACTTACCTAGTGCAAGTTTCATTGCACTTAATTGGACTTATTTCTGACTTGACATGCATAGGATTCTAGTGTAAAATGTTATAACTTCTCTTTGTTGTTCATAATGGCTTAGTCCAGCTATAGTGATTCCCATCTGCTAAACCATAACATATCAGCATGGGACCAAGGTGTAGACTCACATAATTCCTCTTCAGCTATCACATTCCATTCTCCCTCAGCTTCAGAATGCTATCCTAGTCTCTTAAACTACAATTTTCCATGATGAAGAAACCATGGTTTACGTGCTTCCATCAAACTAGGATATGAAACCAAGATCTGATGCTGGTTCAAAGCTTCTTTCTGAACAAGTACTTAAACCAATTTACCAATTTTGCTGCTCTTTGACCCTTTAAGAAAAATTCACATATCCCTATGATTTTTGCTTAAATGATATAAATTCATAGGAGAAAATACCACAGAGGAAAGAGTTAACATTCTTTCTCCTGATGCCATGTCTGTTTTTGCAAATATTTAGAGATATGATATCTGATTATGACTTTCTTGTCATTTTGTCTAGTTTGATCCCAGGTCCCCTTGACCAACACAGTCCAAAGCAGTAGGGCAATTTAATTGCACTGGTATAATATTACCCTGCTACCCCATCTCATTTCTCTTTCCAGCCTTGTGTAGATCACGTAGCACTTACAAAATCATATTTATCCTGTCTCCACAGGAAAGGGACATCCATAAATTTTTCAAGAAATGGGAACATGTTGACTAGTACAATTGCTGCCGAAACAGCCTGTGCAAATTAGAAAAAAAGTTAAGAGTAAGAGCTTAGAATGTCGTAGGAAGAAAGGACAGTACTTGTTTAATTACTGAAGCTATATTGGAATCTAATATTACATAACACCTACAATTATATTTCATATTATACTTCACCATCAAATATAACCTCCAACTACACTGCTCCTGAAAAAACTAGCATCTATGTTGTTGTTATGTGCCATCAAGTAATTTCTGATTTATAGCAACCCTATGAGTACTCTCTACAAGATGACAGGTCGGTTCAGCTCTTGTAAAGTTAAGGCTGTGGCTTCCTTTATGGAATCAGTCTGTCTCATAATTGGACTTCCTCTTTTTCCTCTGCCTTCATCTTCCCTGGCATGATTGTCTACTCTAGTGAGTCTTGCCTGCTTATGGTATGTCTAAAGTACATCAGCCTCAGTTTCATCATTTTTGTTTCCAGGGAAACGTCTGGTTTCATTTGATCTAGGACCCACTTGTTTGTCTTTCTGTCTGTCCAGGGTATTTGCCAAGCTCTCCTCCAACACCATGTTTTGAACACATCCATTTACTTCTTGACAGCTTTATTCAATCTCAGCTTTCATACATAGTGATTGGGAATACATAGTGTGGATGATCTTGGTCTCCAGTGGAACATCCTTACACTATTTTTTCTAGTGCCCTCATTGCTGCCCTTACAAGACTCAGCAGTCTTCTAATTTTTTGGCTATAACATCCATTTTAATTGATGGCTGAACCAAGGTGTGCAAAATCTTTCACAATTTCAGTTTCTTCACTGTCAAAATTTTATAGTTGTATAATGCTTTGGTAGTCATCATTCTTGTTTTCTTAAAGTTTGACTGCAGTCCTGAAGCCTCTGCTGTAGGAAACCATTGTGTTTCTGCATATTCTCTCCTAACAGTAGCTTCTTGTGCACAACAGAGGTTATACATAAGGACAGTCAAGTGCTCAGGCACAATGAGTACTTTCAGAAACATCCATAGCTTTTTGTGAACCACACGGTCAAAGACTTTGCTATAGTCTATAAAGCATAGACTGAACTTCTACTTCCAACAGATGCAAAGAGAACATGTTAGCAATATGATCTCAAGTACCTTTGCCTTTTTGGAATCTAGCTTGAATGTCAGGCATTTCTCATCTAGGGTACAATTCCTTGTTGCAACACCTTGAGCATCACTTTGTTTGCATGGGAAATTAGAGCAGTAGTCTCTTTAGTTGCTGCACTCCTTTGCATCTCCTCTTTTGGGAACCAGAATGTATATTGAATGTTTCCAATCTGTTGGCCACTACTTTGTTTTCCATATTTTTTGGCATATTCTTGTTCAGATTTGGACAGATTCCGTTTCTGCAGCTGGGAGTAATTCTGTTGGTACCCTATCTACACGAGGTGCATTATTTCCTCCAGTTCCTTTCAGAGCAGCTTTCACTTTATTTTCTAATATTGTAGCTTCTTCCTCATAGTATTCCTCTCTGCTGGCATCTGTTGTTCTTTCATCTCTTCTGTATAGTTTTCTCTATATAGTTTCCTCCTCCTCTGTATTTTTTCCTGGTCAGATGCCCATGTTCTCTGGATATTTCAGCATTCCTAACCTAGGTTTGAATTTCCCTTTGATTTCTTGGATCTTCTAGAAGAGGTCTTTTTTCCCCATCTGTTGTTCTCTTCTATTCCTTTGCACTGAGCGCTGCGATAGTTCTTTTTGTCTCTGTGTGATAATCATTCAAAAGTTGCATCAGTTCTGATGGTTATGCTGATAGGTATTCCAATAATTCCAATTGATATAATTGGACATTGCATTATAGCCCCTTACTGCCTGTGCTACATCTTGCCTCACAGTTACAAGCACTCCATTTCCCCTGAGTTTGTATTTCCAGTGTAAAACACTTGGTGTTTGTCTGACAAAAAAGTCCCATTCCTGTCCATTTAATTTGGCTTAGATGAAGTACTACAATATTTAACCATTCAATTTCTTGTTTTACACTTTTGACTTCACCTTGATTCATACTTGACATGCTCCATATTGCAATTATATATGTTGTGCAGCATGGGATTTTCCTTTCACCTCTGTACATTTTGATTTTGATTTAGTTGCATCTTTAGTGGCAGTGCTATATCTGCTTGTCCTTTGCTTTTAGCTTGTTGAGTGCCTTCTGATCTGGGATTCTCATAACATTGATATATGCGTTCTGAAATTCATTTGTAATTCTAAAGAAAGAACTTCTTCCTTTAGTGGAAAGAACGGAGAAATAAAGAGGAACTTCTTCTGAAAAGTGCAGCAGATGGACTGGATACACAACCAAGTAATTTCTTAATGTTAAATTTTACTACTAGCTGGTCTCTTTCAAATGTCAAGCTTGGTTCCATCACCTTCAGGCCATTCCAGAGATAAGAGATGGGTTTGCTACCAATCCAATCATACCCAAGGAGGAAAGCCAGGACTATTTCGGGGCGTACCATAAAATGGCAGTACATAAACTGAGGCTGCGTCAAGTGTGGCTGTGGATATAGTTTGGAAGAATATTTCCTGCCAAGTCGCTGTGTAGCCTGTGATAGCATGGTCTCCTTCCCTGCCTATTATCTGCCTTCAGTGAAATCAGGCTGGTATTACTGCTAGTCTCTCTCCCTCATTTGACATGAAGGTTCAGGAAATATTTCCCTCAAGATGCTTCTCATGCAGAGTCCAGCCCAGAAAGCTGCTAAAGAAAACACTGAACAACTCTTGAGGAAACTATTTTTAAAGTCTTATAAAGAGAATGAATGAATGAGCTTTTCTATCTCTTCGTCATGTTAGAGGTACCCATGTTCATATGGCCAAGGGGAAGACTTTTTATAGAGAGTTATGTTCCAAACCGGCATTACATACATGTGTCCAATTAATGGGATTCAATTGCTGAGGTTCTGCTTCATATACACTTACATTAGGAGGGTACTGGAAGAGGGAGCCAAATTTTAGCACAGCCACCAGCATTAAGGAAATTCCAATCAGAGCTGCAAGCTAATAAAAATATTGTGTTAGACATTTGTTCTGGAATGGATCATTTATTATTCTGTTGATGAATTTAATGTCACCTACAGCAGTGCATCTTACACAGGGTGTATTCATAATGGTGTGTTTAATGGAAATCAACATGCCAAAATTTAATTTGTATCACTCTGATAGATATCTTATTAATTTGTCCAAGTGGAGATGAGAGTGCTATGGATTTAGAAGCTACCCTACAACAATTGTCATGAGCAAAGGATGGTATAGTAAGATGAGGAGAAAATGTTATTGGAGTGGTGGAGGATCCAGATGCCCCCCCCCCCCGATCCCTTCACTATTTTGAAGGCTTCTGGTGGATTGGATCCTGCACTGTCTGGTCTGACTGAGGTGTTTGTGAATGTCCATTCAGCTCATAGTATGGTCTCACTCATCTATTATATGATAGTGGGTGAGAGGGCTAACCTGGCATCCATCACAGGGACCAGAGTGATGCAAACATGACCCAGGCTAGAGACCTGGGGAAGTAGGGAGTTGCCATGTTCCATTAAAGCTCAGTCTCACATACCAAGAAACCCCCCACCCATCCATCTTGCAACATGCTGTGAGGTCTGCACCTTGCATTAGGCCCAGACAACTGACTGGGGATACTATTCGTGCCCAACCTGCCATCCACTGGATGAGCCAATCTTGTATATGATGTTGGAGAACACTGAGACTCTGGTCCTGGGAGACTTCAATATCCATGCTGAGCCTGTCTTAATAGGACCAGCTTGGGACTTCATGTTCTTCTGGTAATTTTGATGAGACCCTTGTCCACTATGGAATAGTGAAGTATGACACATCATTGACTCCTGAGTATGGTCTCCAGGAATATAGAGCTTGGTAAATCTATGGATTGGCAGTTCCCTGGTCCAGGAATTAGCTATTTGCCTATTCTGGATGGGGTTACACTTCCTCTGAAGGAACAGGTACATAGTTTGGGGGTTCTCCTGAATCTCTTTCTATCAGTAAAGGTTGAGGTAATCTCAGTGGCCCAGAGAACCAATTACTAACTTTGGGTGGTATGCTAACTACACCTGTTCTTGAAGCGAGATAGCCTAGCCACAATGACCCATGCACTGGTAACCTTCCAATCAGGCTACTGCAATGTATTCCTCTTAGAACCATCTCTGTCCCAGATTCAGAATTTGCAGGTTACACAGATGCAGCAACTAGAGCACTCACTGGGACACCCAGCTATGTTCACACAACATATGTGGGTTAAAAGAACTGTACTGGCTACCAGCCACATTCTGAGTTAGCTAATTCTTATACTATCTAGCAGACTGCCTTTCCCTATATATACCCTGCAACCTTCAAAATCATCATAGAAGGCCCAGCTGGTCATTCCAAAATTAACAAAAAGTTGCCACATAATACCATGTTAGTAGGCCTTCTTGGTAGTGGTGCTCACCCTTTGGAAAAACATACCCTGTGCAATTTGAGAAGCAGATGATATAGCAAGTTTCAACACCTTCTGAAAATGCACCTGTTCACCCCAACATTCCCTGGCATGCAATTAAATTAATCATGCTGCTTCATTTAACGTTCCTTGTATTGCTCTGGGTATTGCTCTGTAGTATTCTTGTAATTTAAATGTAATTGTTTTACTGTTGTATTTTAAATGTGATTTTAATAATTTTGTCAACTACTTAAAGATTTTATTGTATTTAATGGTATATAAATATAACAAATACATAAGTAAATTTAATAGAAATATAACATTGGTTATGGTAGAAGATCTACTAAAGAAGTATCATAAATTATTTTGTGGCATCTTCATTTGTCAAACTGGTAACTATTCTGATTCTGGGCCCAATTCTTGGTGTTTGTTATTGCTGCCTGAAACTAGGAAGGACCATCTCCTTCTGTATGAACCTGCCTGTCAGTGATGGTCATCTTCAGAAATCCTGTTCCATGTCCTGCCACCAAGAGGTTGGCAGGGACATGAGAAAGACAGGGGTTTTCCAGAGGTGGCATCCCAATTGTGGAAGATGATCTCTTCTTTGTTCTCTTTTCAGCTGGAAGTTTTGTGCTTTGTGATCCCCTTTTAGGGGTAAGAAGTGCTATATAAATGTTTTTATAAATAAGTAGTGTGAGATGTTTCTTAACAGAAGAGAGCAAATAATCACCACTTGCAAATAAACACTCCACCCTTTACATTTGCTAGTGTGAGTGTACTTTCAAAAACAAGAAAAATAATTTGTCTAAGTGGCAAAGTCAATTACTGAGCTGTTCCTAAAACAAGAAACTGAAAGACACAAACTACAATGAGGCAGTTCTCCAGAAGCACAGTTTTCAAAAGATTCAAGAGATAATCTTCTACATTTATGTATTTGCTTGTTAGGGCAGAATCCTATTGCTACCAGATATCCTCGGGGGAGCCATAGTATTTTTCAGGGTCTCTGCCACAAGGTCTTTAACCTCTGTGCTTGGACTCTGGTGACCAAGCCCCTGCTCCATCAGTGCAGAAAGAATCCTACTGACTTTCTTTCCAAGAACAGGAATGCTCCTTGGAGTGTGGGGGAAAATATCTAGATAAAATGCACAGGGCAAGATGCGATGGGAGCAGGATTGCCACTCCCATCCCTTGCTCTGACCTCTGGATGCAGGTAAGACTCCAAGTTAGGAGGCTTATGTGCATCTAGAGTGGGGATAATAGAACTGAGCCCCTTGTCTATTCAATTAAGGTAAAAATACAGATAAATCATCTCCACATTTATATTCTTTACTTTATAGTAAATCTGAAACATGAAATTTCTTTTGAATCAACAAACATATTTTGCTGATTTGAGTTCCATATTGTATAGAGGAAAAACAGGCCCCAGTTAGCAATCCTAAATGCAGATATGAATCAATCAGGAGCTTTTAAAATCAACAATCACCTGAGTTTTTCCACCTGTTTTCTCTTGAATAACAGTTGTAGACATAGCACAGCTGACAGCAAAATTTCTAAAAAGTGAACTGAAGACATTGCATAGCCCAATTGCCATTAAATCCTGCATGTAATAAATCAAAATTAATACCACTCAAATTACTGTGATAGAAATATTCTTGAAGAAAATACTGATTATATGAGCAAACAATACACCTCAAAGCAACAACTACTAGTGTTTTTGATAGCGAGAAGTATGCATGTGTTATTTGCAATTATTATAGTAAACTTATGTCTGTATCTAAAGTTTAAAAGTAGCCCTGGAAGAGAAAGCAGAGGAGGAGCAATGCTCTCTATTTTTTCTCCTTTCTGAAGCTTCTGCCGTCAGCTGAATTAGGAATCCATTGAGAAGAGCATGAGGGGAATGAGTACACATAAACTATATTTGTTAGGGAAACAACCCTATCCTTTGGCAGAGAAAGCATTAATTGATGAAATGGGAATACAACATTAAGGCCTCCAAGGAGAGGGACTGACACACTTGTGCAGCTGCTTACAATAGTGTCCAATGTGGTGAATTGTTGCATGCCAAAAATAAGCTCAACCACCTCTTCTTCAGCTTCCTCTACCTCAGCTTGGAAGCCTGTGCTCCAGTCTTTCCTACCACAGGGAGACTAGTGGGAGATCTACATTAGATCCCCTTGTATTTATAAGGGAGCATAGTCACAGTATTTATGAAAAATGCATATACCTCTGTTGGGGAACATGCTGAAGAGTACAGCACAGCTTCCACAGCTGTGTTAAAAATGTGATCTTGGGTTTCCGTACAAATGTAATTGATAGAGAAATAAAAGGTATTGGAAAGGTGATGTGTGTAGGGAAATTCTCCATAAAGAACCCCTTACAAAGCATGAATAAGCAAAGAAGTGGGATTAAGAAAGAAAAGAGAAGAAACAACAGCTCCTTCTGCCCTCTCACAAAAGAAGAGAAGTGAAGGAGAGGCTGTGATGCTTCTTGCTGCAGTCCTCATACAGGGTGAAGCCAATAGGACCAGCACCCCATTTCCCCTGCATCCCAAAGCAAGTGCAGCCCCACTCTGGTGCTGATCTTCCCACAAGTTAGATGCACTGAAGTCAATGTAACTGCCCTTGAGGAAGCACCATTGAAGATTATGTGATTTATGTGCATTTCAGCTGGTTGTTGCTTGAGGCAAGAGGGCAAAGGGGACAATGGAGAAGGCTTGAAAAAGCATTGCAAACTTTATTTTTTCAGAGATCAATGGAAGGGAGGGAAGACTATTGCATTTACTCTCCAGTTCACCAGGCAAGTGGGAGAGGTGTGGGGTGGCGGGGAGAGAGGGGAAAGACACTTGAAGAATGATTAGCTTGTTGAAGTGATAGGCACTTCCTCTTGCAGCACTGCTTTCCTGCCTGCAATGCGCTGAAGCCCTCCTCTTGCTTCACAGAATAGTCCTGCAATCTTAGCACACATTTAAATATATTATGTGGGGAAAAGTCAACATATTACAAGGTCATGATACAACTGGTCTGAATATAATGGCAGAAACAGTATGAAAAGGCCAGTCTGGGGTGAACTCCATCTGCCATGCCAATGGGTCAGGCATTACAAAAAATCCCTTGTGCAGATCAGACCTAAACTCTGTGACTTCAGCAAAGCTTTTGATAAAGTGCCCCATTATATCCTATAGCTAATTAGCTAAAAGATGGATTGCTCGATGGCTATCAGGTGGATCCACAGTTGGCTACAGAATTGGATTCAAAGAATGCTCATCAATGGCACCTTCTCAGACTGGGGAAAGGTAACAAGGGGGGGGGTCCTGAAGGTTCAGTCCTGTGGCTCTTCAATATTTTTATTAATGATTTGGATGAGGAAGTACATGAAATGATTATCAGATTTTAGGTGACAGAAAACTGGTTGGGATAGCTAATAATCTGGAAGACAGAAATAAAATTCAAGGTGATCTTGATAGGCTGGGGCACTGGCCTGAAAACAACAGAATGAAATTCAGTTGGGACAAATGCCAAGTTCTGCACCTAGGAAAAAAGAAACCAAAAACATCATTACAAGATGGGGAACACTTGGCTCAACAATACTGCAAATGAGAAGGATCTTGGAATTGTTGTATTTCACAAGCTGTATATGAGTCAATAATGTAATGTGACTGCAAAGAGGACACATGCTATTTTCGGCTGCATTAATTGAAGCATCACTTCCAAATCATGTGAAGTATTAGTTCCCCTCTACTCAGTATTGGTCACGCCTCCTCTCATGTACTACATCCAATTCTGGGCACCACACTTCAAGAAAGATACAGAAAAGTGGAAAGAGTTCAGGGGAGGGCAACAAGGATGATCGGGGATTGGAAACAAAGCCCTGTGAGAAGGGATTGAAAGAACTGGGCATGTTTAGTCTTGAGAAGAAAAGACTGAGGGGAGATATAATGGCACTCTTCAATTACATGAAAGGCTGTCACAAAGAAGACGGACCGGATCCCTTCTCAATCATGCCAGAGTGCTGGACACGGAATAACAGGCTCAAGTTACAGGAAGCCATGTTCCAGATGAACATCAGGAAGAACTTCCTGTCTGCTAGAGCAGTACAGCAATGGAGCCAATGACCTAGGGAGGTTGTGGGATGTCCTACATCAGAGCTCTTCAAGATGCGACTGGACAGCCACCTGAGAGGGACAGTTTATCGTGGAGCCTTGCACTAAGCAGGAAGTCAGACCCGATGGCCTTCTGGCCCCTTCGAACTCCACTATTCTGTGATTCTATGAGTGTGGGTTAACATGTTGTCTGATCCCAGTCAGTGTGTGTGTGTATGGGTGATTAGGGGGAATGATTGTTAAGCAGTGATATATAGTTGTGAGCTATATGTAAAGTACTTTGAGATAATCAGGTGTTGAGCGACCTGGACCTGGTGAAGATGAGAATATAGAACAGGTTTGTTGTAGGGAGATGTGGCTATGGGAACTGACATAATGAGCAGTAGCACTTCAGAATTTACCATTACATATTTTTCGAATGTGATATAGAACTCTTACCTGAGTGTGTCTGATGTGATAGTTGTGAATATTTGCATACTTCTTTCCCACAAAAATGAGAAGGAAATAGCTCACTATTGCCAAGGATGATGCATGTAATATGATCTTGCTCAATTTTGAAAGGTCAGGGAAAGTAGGATGCAAAAACCTGGAATAAAATAAATATATTCAGTCCCCCAGTATATTGCACAAAGAATGTCCCTAAGCATGTGCACAATATGATGTCTTGTAGTTTTGTTAGCTTTTTACTTGGCTATCACTTTCAGTTTCAGCACAAACACCATGACCATCAAGAAGGCATGCAGAGCATGATCTGTTAGTCCACATACAATGAATTATAATTTTTATTATTAGCCATGTTGAGAGCTTTTAATGAGAGAGGAGATACAACTCTTTTCAACCAATATAGATAGATAAGCAGACAACATTGTTTAGTACAGAAATGAGCTCCTTGGAATACTACACTAAACTCTTGTTGAGAAAGTACACATGAAGAAGCACCACAGTAATTATGGATTTGCATGAAGACAGGTGCTGTGGGCATCGCAATGCTTGCAAGGACATAGAAAGGTAGCAATGATCAATCACCACTGCTTTTATATTTTGTAAGTGAGCCCACCTGCTGACTTCAAGGAGTTGTTGACAAGAATATGCTCTAGTCTATAATAATTTTAATGTGCTAAATTGAGCTGGCTTTAGTGAGTGCTACTGACATGTACAAAAAAAAGGACAACAAACAAACAAACAAACAAACAAACCAGCATGGGCTGACTGAAAAAAATGGCAAACACCCACCACAAAGTTTACAAGGATCTTGCATCATTGCTTTGATAAGCATCTTTGGAATTCAAGCATCCAGTGGAATTCCAAAGAAAATGGACAGCTCCTGAACAGGGAAAATATATTTACAGAGTTCTGCCAAATCACAAGTGACATTGTAGTTAGCAGTATTCTTTGAAGTCACATGCTATATTCACTGTGGATTACCAACCTGTCAGGTGCCATTTGAAATACTTGTTTACTGGATTCAGCATCCAGTTGAGTTTGGGAACGAAGTATGGTAAATATAATAATCTGTGAAAGAATAACAGGGAATTATCCAACATGTTATTAACTATGTGAGCCAAAGTCTGTCTGTCTATCTGTTATGGTGCTGGTAACTGCCCTGTTCTAGCTGGAGAGAGGACTGTAACACACAATAATACAGGGCAGTATTATGGCAGGTCAACTCTGCTCAGCTCAACTAAATTCATTTACCCAACACTTGCACACAGCAGTTAGCATTACAGACAAAGCATCCAGATGTGTTAATGGACACTTTTTTTCCTGAGCACTAACTGCTGTATGTAGGACAGGCGCGCGTATTTCAATTTTGCATGTTTTGCATATGTCAAAAGTGTATTTTGATAGCTGTCAAGAAAAGGAAAAATGCTTTTAAAAAAATCCAAAACCCTGTATTAGGTTTTCCTAGGTCAACGTTCATACTCCATCCTAACACTACATAGTGGAAGCTTTCCATTTTCACACTCATGAAACTACAGAGGTCCACAAGTGTACAATTGTGGCAATTATGATGATGATGTATAAAATATTTGCACATGTTGTAGGTGTATTTAATTTTTTAAAAAAATAGGTAGCCAACTACTAGCAACCTTTCAAATATGCCTTTTGGACTATGAGTGACTGTCAAAATTGAGTTTCCAGAACCTTGCTGTCAAACTGGGCCTTGAGATCTCTGAAGGAAAAATGGTTAAATGAGGGGGGAAAAACCTGTGGTGAGTGAAAAAAGGACATGTGATCAGGATGGGGAATAAGTTAATCCTGCCATGGAGTTCCCTGGGATACATGTGGGAGGACCAAAGGGGAAGGAGGGGATGAACAGCCCACAAGCTCAGTTGTCTATCAGGCACATCATGGATGGTTTTGCCAGCAACCAACCCACCAAGGCTTATTGCCAAGGTGGGCCAGTGTGATATGTCAACTTGTCTGATTTCAGTTCACAAAATGTTTCTCCCCAACACCAGTCTCTTAGCTTATAGCTGCCAGTCAATAAACGTTACCAATGATCATTTAAGCAAGTATCCTTTAGTTCTCAGATCACATGAAAGAAGCATAGTCAGTTCATGAGATTTTAAAAATGGCAATATGCTTAAAGTGAATACTTAAGAGTTTTTTAAAAATTCTGTCCTGAAATTCTAATATCAGGTTAAGAATTTTGACTCTGCTTCAGACAACAGTGACTAAAACTGAAACTACACTGGTATTCCCATTTTATTATACATATTCTTTCCTTATTTGATAATAAGTTAGTATTCAAAGGATCCGATATCTTTAATATAGATCAGTGCCATATCCATTCCTACATTGCAAACATATATTTTGCAATAAATGTTTAATAGTGCATTACCTGTAGCATGTTAGCCATACACTAGGTTCAGAAATACAATAAACAATTGTCACTTAATTTTTTCCAGTTTTTTGGTGAAGGATGTCCATTATCTATTAACACTTTAAGCTGAATTTCGAAACACAATGAACCAATGTGTCCTTTTCCTTTAAAAATAAATCCCGTGCATTCTGTTCTCTTTTCTCCAGCAGTCTGTTTTTTGTTCGGCAACATATCTAGCATCCTTTGATAGAAACATTAGTTTAATAGAGCATTTTAATGCTCCAGGCCATTACTGGACATGGAAGTGTCTATTAACTTCAGCAGTAGATTTTGATTAATGCACATGTACAGGTGAAAGAACACAATTCCCATATTGGGCTGCTATTATTGTAATACAAACTGCAAATATAGAGAACACAGCTGGGATCAACAGTGAATGCTGCCATGTGCAGTGTTTCTGCTCTGGATGCTCCATTCCATTCCTGCTCCCACCAAGCTTCTCTTTTCCCCCCACAACAGTCTATCAGCATTCCATGCCAACTGAACATGTTCAGCCTTCACTAGGCTATTTTTGGGTCCTCTATGCCCACTCCCCACTGTTTTTCCTAAGCAATTTTGTACTTCTGCAAATCCTGATCCTGGGGATACCTCCCTATTCTATCTGTTATGCAGTCAAATACATTTGGATTTCTTTGAATCCAGCCTGCAGATTCTGCAACGGACCAGCTTTTTCTGAATTGCATAGACTTGTGGACTGTTTAAAAAAATATTGGGGGAATTCACGCAAATTTGCAGTGCTGCAAGTGGAATGAAATTCATGTACATCCTTTTAAAAAATCTGATTCTGTCAATGAGCAGACAACAGAATGAAAGATGGTAGACAACAAACACAGATGGAATGAGTTGAACTAAATCTGTATATCCCTGTTGTATATTAGTGCTACATCATTCACAGAGAATCTTTCCTCCGAATCATAGTCTAAAGACAGTATCAGTTTTGAAGAACACTGTTCCATGGACCAGTTCTATGTTAAAACCCCACACTAAGTGATTCATATCTAGTAAGAAAAGATGGACTGTTGTGCATAAATATAATTTTATTCAAATAATATATGATACCTACCAAAAAAAAACTCCATAGGAAATTCAACAGGATAGTGTTTGTAAGTTATCTTAATGCATTTACTGACCCTCAGCATTAGTAAAGAAAGCAAGAACAACAGTATACTGGTGGAACTGGCTTTTGGAAGGCCCATGCAGTAATAGACCAAGTTCTGAAAAAGAGAAATGCCAACAAAAATGTTCAGAGGGAATTCATTTTTACAAGGGTTCATTCATTATACCATGATGATGGCTTGCATTTTACTGCCTAGAGCTTTTTGTCCAGAAGCCAGTTCAGTAGAATAGAAAGTACTTTATACAGGCAGACAGAAAATACACAGAGAAAACAAAGGTAAGCAAGAACGTTTTCTTCACAGCTGAACATTACAGCAGAGGAGATCTATAGGCACTGGGAAGTATCTCACAAATGTCTATCCTACACCAGTGTAGTGAAGTAGCAAGCCGGATTAGTGCAATGATTAACAGTGTGCTATTGGACTCAGGCAATCTGGGTTCTAGTCCCCACTTAAGCCATGGAGTTCACCAGGTGACTTTGAGCCAGTTACAGCCTACCTCACAGGGTTGTTGTGAGGTCAAGATTGAGAGGAAGAAGAGAATTATGTAAGCTGTCTTGCGTTCCTTGAAAGGAAAAATGCAGGATTTAAATATAATAAATAAATATAAAATATAAAGACAAACCATTTTAAAGAATTAGAATTTCATAGATTCCTCCATGTTCAAAGGAAACATGTTTGTTTTGTTCCCAGGTACATGGCTGTAATATTGCACCCAAATACTATAACCCATATGTGATGGCTCTCTAACATTTTGCCTGTGGCTTAGCATGCTGTCTGGGTTAAGACAATACACTAAGCCATGAGGGGTTTACTAAACCCTCCTACAAGCTGTGGCTAGTTGGGGTGGTTTGTAAGTCATTTCAGGGTGGCTTATCAACAAGCCCCCTCAGAATCAGGGGTACTGGGGGCGGAGGGGTGTTCAGACAACATGTTAAGCCATCCAGCAGTGGCTTTGCCTGCCATGCAAACCCAGACAATGCTCACAGAACTGTGCTGAAGAAAGGAGGAAGCAGGGACTCTGCAAGAATAATACTGTGCTTAGCTCATCACTCAGTTGGACAGAGAGCTAAACTGGAAAAAAGAAGACATAGGCCTAACCACATTCCTGAAAGATGATAAAGCAGCTTCTGCAAAGTAAAGTCTACCATTCAAGTGCCCTCTTCATAATAATGATATTTATTATGTTTTATTACATTTCTGTCCTGCCTGTTCCTCAAGGAGCTCAAGAACTGTACCTATATTTTATCCTCATAACAACCGTATGAGGTAAGTTACGCTGAGAGCTGGCCCAAGGTCTTCAATCAAGCTTAGGTTATGAGTTTGAATTAAATCTGGGTCTCTCCAGTCCCACATTGGCTTTTTCTAACATATGTCATGTTTGGCCTGGCACATGCAGCACATACTGTTTTCTGCCTTCCAGGAGGCATTCAAACTGTGCACATGGGTGGATGCCAAAAGCAGAATCCACAGCCACATGTGCTTCCTGCCAAGGAGGGCAAAGTCCCCTATACAGGTTGTCCTCAGATGAGTTCCGTTCCTGAGAAGGTTCTTAAGTCAAATTTGTATGTATGTCAGATCACATAAATAAGCCAAATGTTTGTCTTAGTACAAGCATATATTTCACCTTTCTGTGCATAAAAACGCTTAAGAAACACTGCCATGTTCACTGAAACATCATAAGTACAATACAGCATTGTATCGATAATAATAATAATAATAATAATAATAATAATAATAATAATACATAACTACAAGTACTGGGGGGGAGAGAGAGAGAGAATCTGTATGTATGTGTGTAGATTTACATTATTGTAAGAAACAAATAAAAGAAATAGTTCTTAAAACAGTTTACAACATTCTTTCAAAGCAGAGTCTTCTAGAGTTAAGCTAGGTCCTTATCATTCTTGCATAGATTACAGTATGATAATGAATATGACACATTTCGAGCACTTTAAAGTACTATATATTGTTTGTTGGTTTTGTTTGTTCATTTTTGGATATATTTCTGAGTTGCTTTACTAATTTACAATAAACCATAAGAATAATAAAGTACCACAGTTCCAAACAAAACTAAAACTAAAACAAAACAGAGAAAATAATCAGAACTAATTTTCTTCCTTCCTTCCTTATAGAACAGGGTAATATTTGTAGGCCTGTTGGCCACTTTGGAGGGGATCAAGTCTGCCCAATACTACTCAGACAGGTTGTGTCTCCCATCTCTCCCCGCCCCATCTGCTGCCAATTCAGCATCATTTCCCCATTCGGCATCTATAGTATGGACATACTAATACTGATATAGTTCCCCTTTAGCATCTGCCTATCTAACCAGGCCCACAGCTGCTACAAGGCCATTTATGATGAGAAAAAGAAAATGGCCATACAAATAATCTTGAAAAAGCGACTCCAGTGTTACCCGACCCCCGCTCCAGCAGCACAATCAAATCCTGACTCTGCAACATGAGGTTCATCTCCATCATCATCAGTTAATTTTAGGGTTAATGTTACTTCATCAATTAAGAAGCTGTGAATAAAAGCAGGATTTCAAGCTTTAAATGAATATCAACAGAGGAATAGGGAGAAGTCATCTGAGCACCGGTGCTTCTGCCCTTTCTAGAAACTGTTTTGCTGTGGTTCTGCTTCATCCCTGAGGCCCTACATGTGCCCCAAACACATTGGCTTGGGTACGCTTGAGATGCTGCGGAATGAAAAGCTGTGAATATCTCTAAGAAACTATGCACACAGTGATGACATAGTGTCGTATAGCTCCCTAGAAATAATCAAGGCTTTTCATTAGAGACATTCACATAGAGTAACGGCAGTCTGTGTGCTCATAGGTACATAACTCAGGTACTACCCTGACCCTCCCTCCCCCCACCCGCTTGTCCCTCCCTCCCACTGCCTCCCTCATCCCAAAAAGTGTAAAAATAATAGAAATCTCAAGTAGAGTTGAGTCACTCGTTTATTGCTCCCTAGTTGAGTCCGAGTTGAATCGCTGATGCAACGTGAGTCAGACTTGGGAGTCAGTTGCTTGACTCAAGGCCCCAACAATGGTTTGTACATATATAGTGAATACACAGACAGCCTAGTTAATGGATGCAGTTTGAGATGGAAGCCTACTGCTTTACATACTTCATAAATTGCATACAGCTAAATCTGATACATTTTAAAAGCAAATTAATGTAAAATGAAATTCTTTTCACTGTAGTAAAAGGGGTATGACTCTATTAAAATGTTCACAGTTTACCAGCAGCCCTGTGCCAATTAGAAAACTGGAATATAGGCTCTCAAACTGCAGGGATGTAACAGGTCAGGGTTTACAATGCACAGCTGAAGCAGAGGCTGAGCTTATAAGTAGTACACCACTGCATCACTCCTTGTGGTCCCATCCCACTTCAGTATAAGAAGGCAGCTCAACTATTGGAGCCACACCTGTCAGCTTGGCTTCCCCAGCCTGGTGTCATTTTGGACTTCAGCTCCCATCAACACTAGTCAGGCTGGGCAATGGTCAGAAAGGTTGGGAGTTGTCCCTAAAACATCTGGACAGCTTTAGGTTGGAGATAGCAGCTATAGGTTACAGCTCAGAGAGTGTTGTTGAATGAATCCCTTCCTGCAGGTCTCCTGATCCATCAAGTTCTGTCTGCAACCCAGAAACAACAGCAGAACCTGTTTAATGTTCAGTTCCCCTTTCTTGAAATAAGCATGGAACCATTCACCTATTAACTGCGGAGCAGACAAACAAAACCACAGTAAGTCTTCACAGTAAGTCACTCCTTTTGCAATTTGAAGACACTATTTAAATTCACTAATGATCTATCTGAAACTTCTGGGGCCGACCTCTGTCTCCCTCATAAAGAAATAGGAATGGCTTTTCACTGAGGCTGTATTTACTCACATAAAAAAATGCCAAAGGGCCTGAATGAAAGTCAATTACAATTCCAAAGATGACGGAGAGCTGGGAGATCACAACATGCAATGCAGCTGCCGTGAGGTAAGCATTCATGAGGCTTTCCGAGACATACGTTGTGACAAATCCCAAACCGAGAAAGCCTAAAAGTAACTTAAGAGAAGGACACAAGAGAGTCAAAATAAGAAAGCTGGAGTATTAAAGCCAAGGCATAAGATAATACCACCACTTTTATTGAGGTTTGCTATATTCCCTGGTTGGTACTTGAGGAAACTAAACCTCCCCTCTGGAGTCCATATTGCATGGTCTACAACTGTTACAATATATGTTTGTATTTGGTTTCTGCTGTATGGAAGCCCTGATGTTAGTGCTTGGTATAAAAGGACTCACCTGATATTGTAAGGGGCAAGCAGGAATTTTATTTTTGGATCGTGACTCCCTCAATAAAGGATTACCATTTGTTTTCTGTGTCTAGAGTGTTTTGTCCATGCTTAAGCACACCAGATGTCACAACAACTAGGGAGGTCTCCAAATTAGGGTAGATGGGCTTGGAGATCTTGTGTACAGCCTTTCTGTTTGTATGCAGTATACTCTCTTGGGGGACTTGGGACCAGGATACCTGAAGGAGGGCCTCTTCCCTTACATGCCCTCCCGTCCCTTAAAATCTGCGGGAGAGGCTTTGCTCCGGGAGCCCTCTTTAAAGGAGATGAAAAGAACAACTACCCTGAGCAGGGCCTTCTCTGAGGTAGCACCCAGGTTATGGAATGCATTCTCTGGAGAGGTGCATTTGGCACAGAGTCTATATTCTTTTTGGTGCCAGGTTAAAACCGTTTTATTTAATGGCTATTTTAAAAATTAATTTTATCGTTAATAGTTGCTTTTTTGTTTTTGTTTTTATATAATTTTACTGTACTTGTTACTGTTTTATTGTTTTAATTCTACGTTGTAAGCCATCCTGAGATGCCGAGGCATGTGATGACAGCATACAAAAGTTTTAAATAAATAAATAAAATATTTATTACACTGGAATTGTACATTTGTTAATGATATGATGCACATTTTTATTACAAAGATATTTGATAAAACATACATTTGAATATTTGATTTTTCTCTGAAGTAACTTTATGATTTGAGAGCAACACATGATAAAAATATGTGAATCAATTTGTGGCCTGTATTAGCTAGTTGGCAGGGTTACATAAATTGAACAGAATTGCACCCTAAATTAGTCAGCTCTTTCAGATGTCTGAGGTAATCATATAGGCACATTTTTCCTCCTTCCTCTTGCTTCCCAAGCTGCTTCTAACACCCAGCCCTAAAGCAGAGTGAATGAGGAAAAGCATTCAATTATGTTCTAAAAGGATGAGGGAAATATTTTCATAAGGTTTAATAAATTCTTTTTTACAGTGGTAGCAATATCAGAATCAGAGATGAAAATGCCGCCTAAGGATGTTTAAGACTGACAAAGAAAGGACTAAGGCTTAGCTATGACTAAGCTATGTATAGAGGGGAATATAGTAAGGAATTTCTGTACCTAAAACCAGAGAGAAGAGATTATGAAGGAAACAACATCCTTTGGAAGTTGAATTGAGGGCTATTTTATCAGACTGACAGCAGAATCCTATACAAACTTACTCAAAAGTGACCCTCCAATGTATTTAGAATAGCTTACTCAGAGAAGTATGCATAAGATTTGACTATATAAAACACATAACTGCCTAAATTTTTAGTCTTTGGGTTCAAATATGCAAATATGCAGAAGTGTCTGTGAAAACAACCATCTATCCCCTTTCTATAAACCAGCTTTGAAAGGGGATGATTTGAAATAGGAAATGGCAGGACTCTGAAGCTTTTCCTAGCCCACCAGTCTCCATAATATGCAAATTATGGTCCTCAGATTTGAGGAACTTGAATAGGGGAACACTATAGTTACATGATCCTAAAAGTAATTATTCAGTAGAAATTTGACCCTAAAGAGATGGTTGGTTAGTTCACATCAGTGATGTAAGTTTTCAAACAAACAAACAAACAAACAAACAAACCCAACCCACTTACCCACCCACCCCTGGAAGTTTCCTGGAAACTTTTCTGGGAACGTTTCCATTTCCCTAATTGTACCAAAATCTTATTTAGTATGTTTGTTTGACCTGACAGGCCCTTAAAATATATGATATTAATTTTATATACTATATAAATATCTCAAAACCTTTTCCAAGTATTAAAAGTAAAGTATTTGATTAGGAATGAATGACTAAAGAAACAAATCTTATTTAATATAGTTTAATTCAAAGGAGGAGCAGTTCCAAAGCCACAGTGATTCAATCTCATTAGATGTATTTGCTCCCTTTTTCTTCCTGTATTTTTAAAAAAACTTTAATCTGTTTGGAGGAATCTTGGAGCAGGACTAAATTACCTTCTGTGTTGGGGACATGGTTGTAGACATTTCAGGTGGCAAAATGAAGGCATTGAAAATTCAGCATGCTTACAGATCCGAGTATGTGATATATTCATTTTTCCAAGGTATTATTCCTTTTTCCCTGTTCTGTCCTTATATTCAGTCAACTCATGGGGCGGGGTGGGGGGGGGGACAATTTTATACTGTTACCCTGCCCTTAACCTCCACACATTCAGCAGAATATGAGACCCAGTTCTACATTCATAAACAATCAGGACCCCCAGGCATGGCAGGGTTCTCATTTGCAAATACAGAACTATGCTTGTGCAGCCTCTTTTTAACTGATAAACATATGGATAGAAGATGGGAAGGGGGTTGAAAGCACAAACAGAAGAAATCAAATTCAAGTAAATTTCCTACCTGAATAACCCCAACCAAAAATGTTGTAGATGCAGTGTATGTTAAAGCTTCCATGTAATTCTTCATAATAGTTTCATTAGAGAAGTTGGCTAGAGTAGCATTACTTGGCAATCTAGTATTGAGATTAAGTGTGTTTTGAAAGTTTGCCACCATTGCATTCAGAATGCCAAAAGAACCTGTTTCCAGAAGAAGAAAGCAAAGACTAAAGAAAGATCCAGTACCAATTCCAATTGTCTCTTTGGTAACTTATTACATTTATCTTATTTCCCACCTTTCCACCATGGAGTTCAAGGAGTCAGAAATCTTTCCAAGGGTACAGTCAGTCTGCACCCACTGTGCATAGCTGCTGTGCAATGCCAAAAGGGTAATGGTAGAGTGGAGCCAATGCTGACATTGCTGAAGCACTTGGACTTTTTGATTAGCAAGCATGATTATGTCATCTGCCATTGCCTCTCCCTTCCTTCTGATAGCTGCAGTACTGGAGGGAAATGGATTTTCTCAGCCCCCAGATATTACTCACTAGGTTCAAACAACATAACCCATACTCAAGGGTTTAGTATAGGTTGTCCTCATACTGTGGATTGCCATTGAACCATGGACAATTTTGTTGTCTGAACACAGCTGCAATAACAAGCCATGGCTTATTAACTATAAACAACCCATGAAAAGAAGTCATGCTTTGTGTTGGATTGTGAACTGTTATTCACCATCATGTGTTATTTCAGCTGGGTTCAGTCAACATGCTAACCCATGTTTCAACAACATCGTATGGTCCAACAACAATCTACATTCAATCCATATTCAACACCTGAGCGTGGGTTATTGCCTGAATATGTGCTCTCTCTGTCATAAATGCAAAATAATTATTGGATTGTGTTGCCTTGAGGGGCAGCTAAGACCTATTAGCTTCACAAAAGTCAGGCTCTTGGAGGAGAATCAGTTTCTAGAATCAGTTTACTTGGAGATCAAGTGTTTCTCCCAGATACTTAGAGAATAAACTCCTGAAAAATCTTGAGCTGGTGGTATGATGCCCTCTCTTTTGCATGCAAACTCAGGTATCACCAGTGAAGTTTAACATTATATTGTTCTTTGTTTGTTCATTCTTCTATGACTACCAGGTAATAGCTGGATATTATGCCATGCATTGCTGACTTTGTGTGTGTGCGCACGTGTATACACATACATCTACAGATATAGATCAACATAGCTGCCTTGCATTTTGGACTTTCTTTGTGGGTGTGGCTATGGGGATGTCACAATGAGTGCCTGTCAAAATTCACCACCACTTCCCTGGATACCCTTCTTCCTCTATACATCATAGACTGCATTAGCAGATCAGAATAGTACTTACCAATGGACACATGCCGAGAAGTTCCAAATATGACATATGTTAAAGAACAGCAAAATGCAGAGTAAAAACTGTTGATAAATGGCAGTGGTAATCCAGTTAAGAATATTCCTGATAGTCCTAAAAATGTATTTTAAGAAACATACTAAAAATGGTTAGATAGTGCTGAAGCAGTAAGTTTATTATGCATTTGTAATAAGCAGAGAAGGCCCATGGAAAACATGCCACCCCCCATTATTATGGACAACAATTATTTGATTATATATTTCACTTATCTCCAGAATCCGAACATATCTGATACTATACCATGTTCATACAAGAACTGCTTTGAAAAGAACTGAAATTCTTGTTCACTAATTGAAGAAAGAGGTGTACAAACTTATTTTAAAATCTAGCTTTCCTTTTAGATTTTATCAGAAGGGGCTGTTCAATAGCTTCCCAATGTGCCTCCAAATATTACATAACAGACAAACTCTTCTCTGGAGTAAGGGGAACATTAGGATATTTTCACATGGGTGGAAAAGTATAGCAGATTCTACTATGTAATAGAATACTACTATATTTGAATCATGTGTTGTTGTTGTTAGTCGCAAAGTCATGTTCGACGCATCACGAACCCATGGACAACATTCCTCCAGGCCTTCCTGTCCTCCACCATCCCCTGGAGTCCACTCAAGCTCACGCCAACTGCTTCAGTGACTCCATCTATCCACTTCATTCTCTGTCGTCCCCTTCTTTTGCCATCTATTGTTCCCAGCATTAGGCTCTTCTCCAGGGAGTCCTTCCTTCTCATTAGGTGGCCAAAGTATTTGAGTTGCATCTTCAGGATCTGGCCTTCTAAAAAGCAGTCAGGGTTGATCTCCTCTAGGACTGACCGGTTTGATCGCCTTGCGGTCCAAGGGACTCGCAGGAGTCTTCTCCAGCACCACAATTCAAAGGCCTCAATCCTTCGGCGCTCAGCCTTTCTTATGGTCCAACTTTCAGAGCCGTACATTGCAACTGAGAAAACCATAGCCTTGACTATATGCACTTTTGTCAGCAGGGTAATGTCTCTGTTTTTTAGTATGCTGTCTAGATTTGCCATAGCTTTCCTCCCAAGGAGCAAGTGTCTTTTAATTTCTTGGCTGCAGTCCCTGTCTGCAGTGATCCTGGAGCTCAGGAAAATAAAATCTGTCACTACCTCCATTTCTTTCCCATCTATTTGCCAGGAAGTGATAGGAATGGATGTCATGATCTTAGTTTTCTTGATGTTGAGTTTCAAGCCAACTTTTGCACTCTCCTCCTTCACCCGCATCAAGAGGCTCTTTAGTTCCTCTTCACTTTCTGCCATTAGAGTGGTATCATCTGCATATCTGAGGTTGTTGATATTTCTCCCAGCAATCTTAATTCCATCTGGTGATTCATCTAGCCCTGCCTTTCTCATGATGTGCTCTGCATATAAGTTAAATAAGCAGGGTGACAGTATACAGCCTTGCCGAACTCTTTTCTCAATTTTGAACCAATCAGTGGTTCCGTGTCCAGTTCTCACTGTTGATTCTTGACCAGTATATAGGTTTCTCAAGAGACAAATAAGATGGTCTGGTGCTCCCATCTCTTTAAGAACTTGCCACAATTTGTTGCGATCCACACAATCAAAGGCGTTAGCATAGTCAATGAAGCAGAAGTAGATGTTTTTCTGGAACTCCCAGCTTTCTCCATGATCCAGCGTATGTTGGCAATTTGATCTCTAGTTCCTCTCCCTCTACGCAATCCTGCCTGTACTTCTGGTAGTTCATGCATTAGCAGAAAACAGATGGCAATTTGACTTAAAGGAAATAGGGCAGAAAAAATAGATATAAGAAAAGGACTTACCTTGAAAAATCTGAATCATTCCCACATTTATGCCTGCATGTATGTCTCCTAGTATCCATTCTGTGACACGATATGAACAAAGCCAGTTTAGAATGGGAAACATCTTGACAATCAACTTTCTGAACCGTGAACATGAGAATCTGAAACAAATTGAACTGTGCAGCTAGACTTATCTTTGTATCTAGGATTTTTTTTTTCTTATATACCATATAACAACCATATAACCTCTGCATGCACTGTTGATGGTAGTAACAGACAGACAAGCTTATATGGGCGAACATGGTCCTTCAGCTATTATCCAGGTCTCTTAAAAGGGCAACTGTTAAAGCCTATTCAAGATAATCACCAGTGATTTGAATTGGGCGTGTAGTCACATGCTTCTGAAAGATAGTTCCAGTTAACAACCTCACTGCCATATCTTGGACCAACAGAAGTTTTTTAGACACCTTTCTGTAGTAGTCTAAATATAATACAACTAAGGCATGTGCCATCATGGCCAAATCTCTATTCTCTCTGTGTTGGTGTAGCTGTTGTACCAAGTCATCCTTCTAGGAAGGACTAGAACCACTGCAATGCTGTGCCTCTTGGACCAGAGAAGGCCAAGAAATAACAAACCTTTTTACAGCTCAGGAAAACTGCTGGACAACTCTATACAAATGCAGTGGTGAGGGGGAAAAAAGATGATTATTATTTTTTTGCAATCATCGTTGCTCTAGAATACTCTCTAAAACAGGGGGACATGTGGTCTCTACATGTTCTTGGACTGCATTTCCTATGATTCCCTTACCATTGGCTATGCCTACTAGGGCTGATGGGATTTGCAGTCCAACAACATCTGAAAGGCCATATGTTCTTACATTGTTTTGTTTGGCTTCTTAGTGTGGTTTGCTGTTACTGAGGCCTGGGTTCCAGGGCTCTCCTGTGGATTGAGGTTTGGAGGGTTTTTTAAAGTCAGGTTTCAAGAATAGACAGTAAGGTCAGGTATCAGGTATAGGAATAGATAAACACAATGCAAGGCTCCACTTGACACGACGCTGGACAGGCTTATGTGTATTTTGCTCTAAGTTGCTCAATACTAACTTATATAGAGGTGTAGCTAGTTTTAGGCTGACTCTGCTTTCCTACTGAATAAGGCTTGGCCCCTTAAGGGAAGCTGGTCTGTTTTATGTGGGGAGATAGCAGCCGAGGGGGCCAGTCAACCTGCCCATGGGAAAGGGGAAAAGCAACAATGTCTTGGGGGAGGAGATTTAGAGATGAGGAGTCTATCAGATGGAGAACCCCTGCCTCCTAAACAGGTGGAGCCAACAGTCCAATGTCACAGTTGTAGGGTGACCCAACTGGGGTCTCTGAAGAAGGAGCACAGGCATGCCTGATTCTACAGTGCTCCTCCCCACAGGGACAGATGCAAAAGGATACATAAGGAAAGCTTTGGGTGAAGAATGAAGAGAGGGTTCAACATTTCACTTTGTGTATGTTCAGAGATTTGCATGTAAAAAATGGTGTTTGGCAAAGAAGTGCTGGTGAAGCTATTGCTGCTGGGAAGGAGAAGCATGGCTCACAACAGAATGGTTACTATCTTCATGGCCTGAGTCCTCAAAGTCTGAGGATGGTAATGTAGTCTCTTTTGGATGCCGGGGAGTTCACCTCTGAAGTCTTTCTGGAAGCTAGGTCCTGGGGAGAATGAAGCCTTGTGATGACATTCCATGGCTGAACCCACTCCAATTAAGCGTGCATCCTCTTCATCTGAGGACAAGGGTCAGCAGATCCTCTGGGAACAAGGGGTCAAACCCTGATCCATGATCAAGTGAGCTCTAGTATGTATTTATTTAGATTGGATTCTCTGTAAGTCTCCTGTGAGATAAGCCAAGCTGCTAGTGAGCACTAGACCACCTCTGGTTTGCAGGGAGGCACTGCAGAATAGGGAAGGTCAGAGATGGGAGGTATAAGTTTATTAGCCCAGTGGTTCAACATCAAGTCAAATGAACAGACCAGTTATGTTCCCTCTGGTGTTCTTGCCAGTTGGCCCTCAAGCAGCATGACCCTCCCTGAGTATGGAGCCAGCTTCATTTAGAGCATAAGAGAGGAGGAGAATTCAGTTCGGAATCAACTCCTGGTATGTGCCAGAAATAGCTAAGGTCAGAGATGGGAGGTATAAGTTTATTAGCCCAGTGGTTCAACATCAAGTCAAATGAACAGACCAGTTATGTTCCCTCTGGTGTTCTTGCCAGTTGGCCCTCAAGCAGCATGACCCTCCCTGAGTATGGAGCCAGCTTCATTTAGAGCATAAGAGAGGAGGAGAATTCAGTTCGGAATCAACTCCTGGTATGTGCCAGAAATAGCTAGACAGCTAGAGGGATCATTAACTTGATGGAGACTTCTTGTTAAATATTTTTATATAACTCACTGTATTACAAAGCCAGCCCAACTGGCTAGCCTAATTTAATAAAGGGTTTAGTTAGAAGTCTTTCACCTTGTTCTCCTGGGAAGGCAAAAGGAAAGAGATAAATTCACCCTTAATCTCATTATCTCATTTTATAATCTACTTAAGAGTGTATCCATGAATGGTACAGAAGTTAGGCTAAGACTGGATACAACCATATCTAAATATCTCTCTATGTGATAGGTTATTTGTGATACAAACTGCACACACAGTTTGTAAATCAAGAGAGCCTTTTCTAATACACTACTGGAACTGAAGTCTATGGCCTGACATTCTTGCTGCTTATTTAAAGTACAAGGTATCAAGTGTCATCTTCAAAAGAATGAAAGTCCTGCTTGACAATTACCTGCATTGAATTCTTCGAGCAGTTGGAGGACTACTATCAGGCTCCTTGCTGGGTTGGGAATACAACTTTTGGTCATGATCTTTTTGGAATTCTTCTTCATTGTACACCTTTCTGTTGATGTTGTATGTCACCCTTAGAGGCTGTCTTTCGTTGTCAACATTAACATTTAAGTCCATTTCATCATACTGGTCCTGGCATATAATAACATGGGAACCAGTGAGATCAGTGAGAATTGTCTAAGTCCCCATTTTATAGCTGTAATGCTGCTAATTCTCAAAAAGAAAAAAAATATTCTAGCACAAGATCTGTGAAATGGTCTGAATGTGACCCATTGAATGTAAACATGATCTATTAATGATCCTTGCTTCTTGATAAATTATTTCCCATCATCTCTCTTTTTTTCCTCTCTCCTCTTTCCTATTCTTTTCTTACATCTTTTATATAACTTTTTTTCCTCATCCCCTAATGCTGCCCCCTTTCCCTAGTTTGTGGGTGATTTTCATGAGCCCAGCAAAACCTTTTCTTTTTGTTTATGATTTACAAGAAAAAATGCACTCCAGCATCCTAAGAGCTTAGGTTAAAATGTTCTGATGATCTGGTTCTATCCCTTTTTGATTCTGGTCCTGCCCACTGTTAGAATGTTTTCTAGAAGTCCATCCCTCAGGCTGAAAGAGGTTCAGCACCTCTGATTTAGCAGATGAAACACTAGACATGTTAAATGCATGCAAATGTTTCACATTGCATCCAACTTCATCAGCAACTATTTATTTCTTATCCAATTTATATTCCGCTATACTAGTCGGAAGACTCTCCTAGCGGATTACAATATTACATAACATAATGACAATAAAAACAACCTACAATAAAACAGAGAAATACACAGTGGATGTCAGAGATCAGATAAATGGTTAATGACTGCTTCAGCCCAGCTAAGGAAGTAAGCAGTAGGCTGATTCTGCATATCAAATAAAGCTTTCCATTCAGCATCCACAAGAACCAGTTTTCCACTTAACCCTGTTCACCTTAGCATCTCCCAGTAGATTGGCCTAAGGATGAAAAAAAACATCTCCACAATTTAACCCTGGATAGTTTTATACAGGTACTAGCTGAATGTCCATCAAATATATTCATGTAAGCTTAATGTCCAATAAGAGAGGCAAAATGAGGTTAAAGGCACAGTCCTATGGTCTCTTGATGTTGTTTGGGAGGCCATTCGTCAGAGTAGGATTCCTCAGGGGCCTTGTTCCCTTATAGCTGGCATGGAAAAACTACTTTGGCTCCCCACTGCAAAGTAACAACTGTGGGAGAGGGAGAAAAGGAAGTACCAGGAGCGGGAAACGGGAAGGCAGAGGCTATGGAGCTATGCATCATCTAATTGGAACCCCAGCCTCCTTTCCTTCTCCTCCTTGGCAATAAGTCTAGACAGCTGAAAATGGCTATCTAGAGAAAATAACTGATCCAAGGCGCAGCCGGGGCAGGGATCACCATCATCATACCTCACACTAGGCATGAGATGCACAGAAGCCTCCCAGTTCAGTGGCTTCCACTTCTCTGCCATGCAGGTATTAGGACTGCACCCTAAAGACTGATGGGAAGCTAGACCAGTTGTTTTTCTGTAAAAAATATTTTAAAGCATGGAGCATCAATGAGATAGAAATGCAAGGTGACCTCAGAGCAAATAGCATTTGAGCTCTATTGATCTATTTTGTAAAAATGTGTTTAATGGTAAATAAAAAGAACCATTTACACAAATAATAAAAATGCCATCCCTTAATACTTAGGGATCTTCATTCTCAAAACATGGATTAAGTGAACTTCTAACAGCTGCTCAGTATTTCCAGCCAGTGATAAAAAAAGAGCAGCACTTTGAATGGGTGTAACTTCAGTAAAAGTTGAAAGAATTCATTAAGTTTATGGAACAGCCAGGCATGACCATTCTTTGGCTTTGGGTGAAGAACAAGATGCCTGTCCTCCACACCATGGTTGGAAGCTGATCAGAGTAGCAGCTGAATCTTACTTCAACACCCATGGTATTGAAACTATCACAGTTGAGTGCAGTAGACTAGCAGAAAGGGAAATAGCAGGCCCATCTTAACGCATGGGCCTGATGGGCACTTGCCTGTGGGCCCCATACTAATCTGTGTATGTTAACCCTTGAAAAATTGGAAAACTTCCAAAATTAACAGTAGTTGTAGTTGTCATAGGGGCCCTAGTACACTGCTTTGCCTGGGGCCCATAATGCTGTTAAGTCGGCCCTGGGAATTAGATAATCCGTGCAGCATACATAGCTTTCTTCTCTAACACACTGTTACACTGTGCCAGTCACTTGAAGTTTCTGTCTGACTCATCCTACTGACTGGCCAGGCCCAGACTGAGTATTTTACATTTCATTTCACCATCGTTTATCATTATTAAGACAAAATTGTTCCTCTAAGTGCTTGCTAGCTTATTGATCAGCAATACCACTGAAGTAACCATATACTTCCTTGACATGCTCTTTGATTTGCTGCTTGAATAAACTGTTGTTCCAAACAGGAGGAATAACTAATAGTACCTTGCAAGTATGTGTGTTGTTCTATCATATTAGTGCAACTGAAAGATTAAACTGGTTAGCTATCCAAGAAAGGTTGAAAGTGATGGTTAGAAAACTTTTTATGATCTAAAAATGGTCCTGAACTTGCTAAAAATGTACAAGGATGAGAAGACAATGAAGTTTATTTTGTAATCCAGGAATGCAAATTAGAACATGTATACATTCCTCCAGATTTTATAAAAAGGTTTAATTTATGAAACAATGAGATGATAAAATGTTTATCATAATTATTCTCAAACAACATCAACAATTTCCTGCTTTATTTTTCAGTGCTGAAATCAAAGCACCTTACAAAATAAAAAATAAAATAAAAATATCAACATCGAGATATAGTAGAGAAGACTGTGAAATAGAAGATATGTGAGAAGGTTTATATCCCCAAAGCAGGGGAATTTCTGCTGTTTAAGTAAAACAGGAAGGTGGGAATTTCAGTACAAGAATTTGTCTTCTTAATAATAGCTCCTACCTCTGTAAGACACCTTGCTTGTTTATTACATTTATACTACCATGGCTTTGAGGGTGGGGGGGGGGCTGTTCACTTACCATTTTTGGTCCAGCTCTTTGTTCTGTTCCTTTCCTTTATGTTCTTGTGTCACTGGTTTCCCTGTTTCAGTTGGAACTGTTTAGAACCTCTGTGTTCTCTTAAATGCTCTCACAATGCCTGCCAATCTTATGTGCACCAAGACCGAACATTCTAGTGTGTGATGAGAATTTTGCCCCAGATTTGCATAGCTTTTGATTGTTTGCACATGTTTGTGTTTGTGTAACATCACAATGTGCATTCAGTAGTCCCCATTAGCTAAATCCCTATTTCCACCTTCAGTTTGGATTTCCAATGATTGTATCATGCAGTGTGTCACCTTTCTATGTGTCTCTGTGTGATCATATTCTGTTGATTCTGTGAACCATTCTGAAATGTTTTCTTTCAAAAATAGAACAATAATTTTCTACACTGATATGCAAACATGCAAATGGTTTCCAGTTCTGTTAGCATGTGACAAAAAGTATTGACATCTTGCCCCTTAAGCACTAAAAATCAAACTCGCAGCCCTTGCTACTTTTGGGTTTTCCCCACACAGATTTGCCGTATTATAATACTTTGCTGTTATCATAGTCATAAGGAAAGGCCAAAAAGTTGTCATTTAAGCATGAAAAGAAGCTGACATTCTCAGAATTCTGAATGCTGCATTAAGGATTAAATTGTGTGCTTGCATGTGCAGTGTTAATTATGGTTGTGTCTGCATTATCCACAGATGGAATGTGCACTAGGGCATGGCCAGATGACAGCTTTCCTGTGCTTATTTATGCCTGAAAGATTGTTGCATCGCATTAGGAGTGTACATACCCAAGGGGAACCCAGGAATGTCTTCCTATGGGACACCCATGTGCTCATAATAACAAATGTATTTGTACATTTATGTACAAATGTATAAATGTACAGCAAAGTCTGTACAGCATTCATTGGCCCCCAGCCAATCTATCAGTTGTGATGTTTGTCCATCGTTTTTGATGAGGACCTTGACATCTAATGGGTTGTGAGTTGTCCACGGTGTGTCCGCAGGTGGCTGATAAGGCCGATATGGGCACGGAGTGTTCTGCCACATGTCAGGCAGACATGTGTGGGCACCACTGTTGCAATGTTTGCAACTCTGGCTTCTCTTGTGCTATGGTTGTCCTTCTGGCTTCAGAAGTTTGGCAGCCTTGGTGGATCAGCGTGCGCCATGTTGATCAGTCTTGTGCCAGGGTCTCCCAGGAGGTGGTGTCAATAACCAGGGACTTGAGAAGGCTTTCAGTGTGTCTTCGTATCGTTTCTTTTGTCCCCTGTGTGATCGCTTTCTTTGAGCCAGCTCACCATAGAAGAGCTGTTTGGGGATGTGGTGGTCTGGCATCCTTGCAACATGGCCTGCCCAGCGTGTCTGGGCTTTCATCAGCAGGGTGTGAACTAATGGCAGGCCTACTCTGGAGAGGACCTCTGTGTCTGGCACCTTGTCCTGACACCGGATCCTCAAAAGTCTGCGGAGGCAAGTCGTGTGGAAGTGGTTCAGCTGCCTAGCGTGCCTCCTGTATACTGTCCAAGTCTCACTGGTATACATCAGGGTAGTTAGCACTACTGCTCGGTAGACTTTAAGCTTTGTAACAAGACTTATTCCATGGCGGTCCCACACTTCGGTCTGCAGTCTGCCGAATGCAGAGCTTGCCTTGGCGATTCTGCAGTTGACCTCGATGTCAATTGTCACTGCGCAGGAAAGGGTGCTGCCAAGGTATGTAAATTGGTCCACTGCTTGCAGCTTTTGTCCTTTCACTGTGATGGTGGGCTCTTGGTATTGGGCTTTCGGAGCTGGCTGATGCATCACTTTGGTTTTCTCTGTGTTGAGGAGGCCAAAGTTGTTGCATGCTACTGCAAATTTGTCCATGCTGGCTTGCATTTCCTGCTCTGATCCAGCATTCAGGGCACAGTCATCAGCAAAAAGGAGGTCTTGTAGCACAGTCTCCTTTATCTTGGTGACAGCCTGGAGTCTTCACAGGTTGAACAGTTTCCCATCGGTCCTGTATTTCAGGCTGACTCCCAAGGAGTTGTTCTGAAAGGGTCTGTCAGCATGGCTGAAAACATTATGCTGAACAGGGTCGGTGCCAGCATGCACCCTTGCTTGACGCCATTTGTGACAGGAAAGGCCTCTGAAGCTTCTCCGTTGTCCAAAACACGAGCTGTCATGCCATCGTGGAACTGACGTACCATCAGGATGAATCTGTCAGGGCACCCAAACTTCGACATGATATGCCACAGACCTTCGCGACTCACAGTGTCAAAAGCCTTGGTGAGGTCCACAAAGATGGTGTACAGTTCATGATTCTGCTCTTGACACTTCTCTTGGAGCTGTCAGACTGCGAAGATCATGTCTACAGTGCCACGCTCTTTGCAGAAGCCACACTGTGTCTCGGGTAGTAGACCCTGTTCCAGGTGGTCAGTCAGGCAATTCAGCAACATACGTGCAAGGATCTTGCCTGCGATGGAGAGCAGTGATATTCCTCTATGATTATCTATCGGTTGTATGGATGGGAGGGAGGCTGAATAACATTGCACATCTGGAAGCAAATACAAGCCTTGGAAGCATGTGCAAGCATGTGCTCAGAAGCATGTGCCTATGGGATCCACACCCTGACCAGAGACAGATGTGATCATTATAATAGTGTATGTACACCAATTCTCCCTGGAATTCCTTTCCATAGTACAGTAAATATGAGAAACTATTTTGTAGCAACTTGTTGTATGGACATTTTTTTTCTTTTTCCTGACCAAAATTATTTGTATTTCTTTCCTTCTATTTTAAATGTATCTACTTTTTTAAAAAGATAACTTGATCTGCAGATAATGTATGATCTAATGCAGCCTTCTGCAACCTGGTGCCCTCCAGCTGTTTTGAATTACTACTCCTGTCATTTCTAACCATTGGCTGTGGTAGCTGCTGCTGATGGGAGTTGAAATCCAAAGCATTTGGAGGGCACCAGGTTTCAGAAAGCTGATGCGGTGTAATACCATGAAAGATACTTATACAAGGTGTTTTTGTAATGACAAGGAATCCTAGTTTTGGGATGGAGTGTATGATTTAGTGACCCAAAAACATATTTTGGGGGTGCTGATCTGTTTCCCCATCCAGGCTGTTCGTATATTTCTATGCTGAATAAGTAATAGGCAACATAGCCCTACTGTCATATTATAGCCTTCCCAATCTGATGCTTTCCAGATGTATTGCACTGCACACATTTATGCCATGGGGATGCTGAGAATTGCAATCCAATGTATCTGGCTGCAGCTAGGATTGGACTTTAGGACTCTCATAGACTGATCCTACTATCATTACCCAGAGAATAGCAGAAGCAAATTCCATCTGGGCATCCCTACATTAGGCATTTAATTAGTGCTTGATAGTTTGCGGGTTCTTTACATAACCTCATCATCTTCCAGAACGTCTCCGGCACTTGCAAGCATTTCTGCAGCTTTTTTTAGATTGAGGAAAGTCTGATATTAGCCGAAAATCATGCTATGAAGAGCTTATGTATTTCACAGTTCCACTATTTTGCAGCATTGCCTGCTTTTTGATTCTTTAAGTGAACCTATAAAAAGGCAAACTAAAAAAACCGGGGGAAAACGGGGAGCTTGGCCATCTTAATCCTGCTCAAATCCAGAAACAGACGCCTCGAATTGCGAGTGGCGAATTGAAAACCTTATGCAGAGATGCTTCCCTTGGTGTTAAGAAGCTGAAACTTCACAGGCTTGACAAGCATTCCGGCCAGAAAGCTTCGGCTATTGGGCAGTCTACTAATGTAATCAATCAGTCCATCCATCAATGAACACAAACGTGTCTGGAAGATAGAAGCATTTGGAAAGCACAGAGGGGCGGCTGCAGCGGGGAGAAGAAAAATGTTAGTCGTGTGCTTCGCAGCAGAAGCGAGACAGGGTCGTCTAAGCGGATCCCAGCCCCACTTTCGTCAATCCAGTAAGGCCAGGACCTAAAACTTCCAGGCCACCCCACCGCCTGCAGAGTGCCCCAGAATGGGGAAGCCACCACCTCGTCTGCGGATCAAAGAGGCAGGAGCGCCGCGTTTGGCTCGAAGTCCAGAGCAGCAGGCGAACGACTCCGCGAGGAGGCGCCGCGGCAGGCCGGGCGAGGGCAAAAGGGGTTGTCTCTGGAGGGAGAGAAGAAGCAGCAGGGCGCACTGGGGCACGAGAAAACGCAGAGGCGGCTGGTGCTGCGTGCTCGAGCTGCGCCTCCCTCTCCTCGCGGGACGCGCCTGTCCCGCGCCCCCTCGGCGCCGCGCCTCCGGGCGCCTCTCAGCAGCTCGACGAGGGAGAGCCCGCTCGGCCGGCCGCGCGATGAGCGCCGACTGCACGAGCTACGTCAACGCCGAGCAGGTGCTGGTGAGCGCTTTCAGCTGCCCGCCCGAGGACGGCGGCGAGGCCGATAGGATCTACTGCTGCGGCTTCCTGGACGTCAAATACTGCTGCGATGACCCCAACAGTTACTTCCCCTACGCGCACAACTACATGTGGTGGCTCAGGTGAGATTGGAGCGCGCAGGCTGCAGGCGGGATGTCTCGCTCGGCGCCCTGAAGTCACCAGGGACCGACAAAGGGGGACCTGAGCTATGGGGATTTTGGGGGGGGGGGCGAGATTTAGGGCACCCTTGAAGTGTCTGCTCTACAAGCAGAAACCCCCCTCCTCACATGTCTAGTGGGGGCAAGCTCGAGGAGGGGGGGAGGCAAAAGGCATTCTGTACATGTTCAAGGGAGGAAGAAAAATGTGAATGCTGAGACTTAGCGCGAGAGAGTTGGCACTCTTGAAGTCTCGGAAAGCGCGGAGGGGCAAGCCCAGGCGTTAGTGCACAACTCGGACATGCAACCCTAACACGGAAAATTGGTTGCATGCGCAGCTAGAATTGCTCTGGCAGTTCTTTATTTAAAGGTGGTAGTGGGGAATCTATCCTGAACCAGCTTTAAGGATGTCGATTTAGGGTGGCATGTTCCTAACTAGAGGGCATTTGAAACACGCACATCAAAAGTCACATCAAACTTGGCTGGTGGAGCAATCATGACCATTTTAGGAATGTGCTTGTTCCATCCATTTTTAAAGCAGCGGTGGTGATGGTGATTACACAGAAAGAAATGTGGGATGGAGGAGAGCAAAACTTGCTTCTATGTACTCTGCTATATTTATGCCAGGGTTAGGGTTGGGGAATTACTGATTCTTCTGATGTTTTGGCCCAGAACTTCTGTGATTCCTCACCATTGGCTACAGGATAGGGCAGGTGGCAGTTGGAGGTCAGAGATGCTGAAGGGCACAGATTGTCCACCCACAATTTAAAACAGACTCAACCCCCTTTAGTCTGACTCCAGTGCTGATCAGGGATAAAATTGGATAATTGCCATAGAGTACAGCAAAGTAAAAAAAGGGGGGTGGGGTTCACTCCCTTCTCTCACTCTCCTTATTGTGTAATGAGAATACACCCCCTCATTCTATGTAAAAAATGCAAGCACAAATCTAGTTTAACCCTTAAATCCAATGGATATAATGCAGACCTGAAAATTCTGGATTCCAGTCCCCACCTAGTCATGAATTTACAGGATGATCTCAGGCAACTTATTCTTGGCTTCTGTTCTGCTCAGAAAAAATGGAAATGCCAGAAGGTACCATTCAGGGATTTACAAATAAAAACCCACTAAATGAGAAAGTGTGCACTTTCGTGGAAATCTTAGAAGTCAGACTGTCTTCTATGTTTGTTTTCCTCAAGCTGTTCCAAGTTAAAAGATACTGTTTAAAACAAACCTGAAGAATTCTCATTGTATGTTTATTAAGTTCTCCTTTCCATTGTTTTCCACTGATTTTTCTTTCTTCCTGTATTTTTGGTTTTGTTTCTTTGCAATTTTGAAAAATATGTATAAATATACTCTAATCATATATTTCTCATCATAAGAGAAATGTATCTCTTTCATGCAAGAGGAATGTTTGCCTGCTTGCTCCAGGTGACTGAGGATGTACAGACATTCTTCTCTCATGTTATCTAATTATTCATTTTATAGAAAGGAGAGATAGAGAACCTTCACTAAAATTAATTTTACATGGGTTTCCGTCCAGTTTTCAAAGGATTACCTCCTGAGTATACATTTTTTTGCTAAAAGCAATGTCAAACTCAGTAAACCTAAATAACAGAATAAAGCGTCTTGGATGTAGTCTGGTTTATAAATCTAGGAAATGTCAGGAAGTGCTTAGTAATAAATGATTGTAACATGATTCAGCTCCCATGAGGAAATTAAAGGCAAATCAATTTATCCTCTTATGGTCAAAACAAATGCCTCCCTCCATTAAATGCATGTAACCTTGATGCTTCCCAAGGGCCGTGTGTTTGACAATGCCATCAGTCTAGTCTGCCCATTAAATTTCATTTCTCTTTCTTTTCCCAGTGTTGGAGCACTTGTTGGCTTGTCAGTCGCAGCTGTCGTCCTGCTGGCTTTTATCGTCACTGTGTGCGTCCTTTGCTACTTGTTTATCAACACAAAGCCATGCAGCAAACTGGATACAGGCTTAAGCTTAAGTTTACAGTCAGCAGGTAAGGCTTCCTTACTCCACTGAGGATATTCAAATGCTTTATCAGAACCAACTTTTCTTTCCACCTGGATTTTTAATGTGTACTAACATTAGAGGTCCTAAAATTTTAGCATTGCAAGCCTCCTTTGATTTAATTAACAATTAAATTAAAGGAGCTTTAATTCTCTTTGAGCTTTCCAGATGGCTGAGACTGCATTTGCTCTTGTTATACTTCTAGAAGAAATTTTACACAGGAGAAGGACAAGGTGTCCATTGGTCCCTGGCATGCTTATTCAGCACTATTGTGCTGGAAGAAAGCAAATCATAGGGCATTGCAACACTTTTCCTGTTGAATTGTGGTGTTGCTTGTTGGAAAATATGTATACTTGGCGGACATCTCACTTAGCTCTTTTCCAAATCATTACCTTAGGGGAAGACCATGATACTGTTTCTGTGTGTGTCCTTGGACCAGTACAGTGTCTTGAATTAGAAATGAGGTGGTACAAACTACTCAGGAGACACTGTTTTCCCTTTTTATATCCCTTGCTGTTGGGAATGAGAAAGGTATCTGCTTTGGGTGCACATGCTCAAGGGCTGCTGACTGGATGCCAGAGAAAGAATCAGAAGTGGAGGAAGAAACGCAGGGGGCCTTGATGTGGACCATCTGGAGACTCTGAGATAAGAGAAGTGGAGATACCTATCTCAAAGTCACACTCTCCAGGTGGGCAGGCAGTCTCTGGGAATAACCTAGCTGCACATTTGATAGGAGGGGACTTGGAACAGCAGACACAGATAAGGTGGCCATGGCTCTTGATCCCATGATCCATCATCAACAGAGGAGAGTGACCCAATTAGAGAATCAGCATGCAGAGAGGAAGTGTGCTCATTTTCAGAAGGCCCCTCCTGAAGGCATGGGCCCCAGGTACGCTTTTAAGGAGAGTTCCTGATGGTGAATTCTAAATTAGGTTCAATGAAATGCTCTGCTCAGACAATCATTCTGGGTGTTTGTGCATCTAGAAAATGCTTTGATCAATAAAGAATGTTTTGCAAGAAGGGTCTGTAGCTTTGAATGTGCAAAGGGAGGAACCCTAGCTCACAACACTTGCAGCTGTGGGTTATTCTTTGTATTTACCTTTTGTAATAAAGAAGTAGTGTGCCTTTAAAATAAAGCAGCTAAAGCAGCCTTCATCCTAATTCAAGCAGAAACTTGGCTGTAGAGGTGAATGACTTGGGACTCCCAAGAGTGAGCAAGGAAACAAGAGTGATGTGTTAAATATTGCTTTCACAACCCCCATGTATGCCTTTGAGGCAGAAGGAGCAGCCATATTGAAAGCTTAAGCACAATGTGAACGACCATATTTACAAATAGAAAAATTGACATTTGGCCTATAGAGGGAGGTAGATGAAAGATCACTTGCTTACCTAAGAAGTCTGCATAAGAACACTTTTGATTCCCTACTTTACACTTTTGTAGCATTTACATTTTAAAAAGCATTCGTTTGCCTTTAGATACCATGCATTCTTTTGTTTTTCCCTTCTTTATTATCTCAAAATAGACAGCTGTTTGAGATGCACAAATTTATTTATTTATTTGGAGTTTCTATATGCCATCCCAGTCGCATAAGCCTCGGGACAGCTTCCAACGAATCCTTTACTCCTGATACTCATCTGTTCACTTTGTGCACCATAGACTTAGATCTGCCTCCCCTTCCTCCCACCCTACCTTCCTTCTGCCCTCCTTATAGTTGAATGAGAGAAAAATCTAAGACATTCTTACATCATAGCAAAATTATAATTTATGATGGAAGCCATCATTTCCTTAGAAAAATAGGCTTTTCTTTAGGCTTCTTTCCTAGTATACTAAACTGCAGGAGCCTTTGAATTAGTTTTAAAAAGAAAAAAATCAAGAAAGATAAATTATTGCTAATATGAAAATGACCTGGACCCAATTAAGAGGTGCAAAAAGACTTTTAAATGCAATTAGTGTACTTCGAAGATTCATGGCAATGTTCTTGTTTGATTTTAATGAGCAAGATGCAATACATATTTTACAAAAACAGCAAGCTACCTTTCTTTCCTTATTTTGCTAAAGATTCCTAATGGGACATTGTCCAGAGATGCCAGACATATAAGCCTACTAATTAAAAGATTTACAATGTGGGTATCCTGTTGCTATCACAGGAGATCTACCCAACTCAATTTAATTCTAAGGCTAGGCATCTGTTCTGTGAATTTAGGTGAACTAGAATGACTGTCTTCCAGAATAAAAGCTAAACTCACCATCAGCCATTTTCCTAGTAATCATTTTAGACTTTCAAAATGGAAAAAAGTGAAAATAATAGTTTGGAAATAGCATTCAGCATTGCTTGGTACTAGCAGTAATGACATTGTACTAATGGAAATCAATATTGGTACAACTTAAATTGGCGCAACGGGGAGAGTGACAATTTGCCAGTGACGATAGTGCAACATCATTACCACTAGCACTAGGACATTATTGGATACTACCCATAGTTAAGGATGCATGGGAAATTCATTTCAGTTCAATATGATTTACCTAGTTCATAGCTTTCAGGCTGCATAGTTTTGGACACACTCTGTGGTCCAAGTCTGCACTTTCTGAACTTGCAATATAATTTGCAGACCCTCCCAAACATATATAAAAGCATACATAAATATGAAAATTGCACGTGTAAAATGTGTACTTTTTAAAAAATGTGTACAAATATACTTTAATCCCTGAGAAAATAATGCACACATTTCAAAGATATGCAGAATGGATCTGTAGATTTGGAAAGTACACATGAAAATATGCATGAGTTCCCATGTGAAAAGAAAAAAGCAGCACTTTGTAATCTGATACATACTTGAGTTGGAACAAATTTTGAGATGGAATTCAGAGCTCTTTGGTGAGCTCAAGATTTGCTGTTTCACACATCCCTACTTATGAAGCTGTAGCTCTTAATGGGGAGCATAATTAACAGTGTAATTGTTAACAAATTGTTGACAAAATAAAACAGATTGCATACTGGGTGCTTGTAACTCTTGCTGTTTGGTTGTTGATAATTTCAGGTTAATGATCCTAAAAGTGTAATGTTCCTATTTGTGGACTTTCCAAATTATCCAGCTGATAAGTTTCAGAAACTTTGTCATAGTTTTAATGCTTGGTTAGGGTACCATCATTTTTGTTATCTTTTATTATTATAGTCTTAATATCTGGATGTTGTCTTTTATGCCATAAAGCTACTCCAGAGGTCTTGTTCATTCCTGGGCCTGTCTGATGATACTTAATGCTGAATAGTTTGTATTGGATAAGTGTTGGTCACAGAGGGTAAAATATTATTCAGCATATAGAGCTGGATATGTTTAGGCCACAATAATGGCTGTCTGAGGAAGCTTTACAAATAGTTGAGGAAAGAAGGGAAGTGAAAGGCAAGGGAGAAAGAGAAAGATACACCCAGTTGAATGCAGAATTCCAGAGAATAGCTAGAAGAGATAAGAATGCCTTCTTAAATGAACAGTGCAAAGAAATAGAAGAAAACAATAGAACAGGGAGGACCAGAGATCACTTCAAGAAAACTGGAGATATGAAGGGAACATTTCATGCAAAGATGGGCATGATAAAGGACCAAACTGGCAGGGACCTAACAGAGGCAGAAGAGATTAAGAAGAGGTGGCAAGATTACACAGAAGAATTATAGACCTTAACGAATTAAAGAATTAAAGACCTCAACGTTCATTTGTGAGCCTCCCCAACTTTGTGAGCTGCCCTTAGGCTTTGTTGCGATGGGGGCGGCATAGAAATGTTTTAAATAAATAAATAAATAAATAACCACAATGAGGCAGTCGCTGACCTTGAGCCAGACATCCTGGAATGTGAAGTCAAATGGGCCTTAGGAGGTCTTAGCAACAACAAAGCTAGTGGAGGAGACAGTATTCCAGCTGAGCTATTCAAAATACTAAAAGATGATGCAGTTAAAGTGCTACACTCAGTATGCCAGCATATTTGGAAAACTCAACAGTGACCACAGGATTGGAAAAGGTCAGTTTACATTCTGATCCCAAAGAAGGTCAATGCCAAAGAATGTTTGAACTACTGCACCATTGCACTCATTTCACATGCTAGCAAAGGTATGCTCAAAATCCTACAAGCTAGGCTCCAGCAGTATGTGGACCAAGAACTACCAGAAGTACAGGCAGGGTGTTGAAGAAGCAGAGGAACTAGAGATCAAATTGCCAACATATGTTGGATCATGGAGAAAGCTAGGGAGTTCCAGAAAAACATCTACTTCTGCTTCATTGACCATGCTAAAGCCTTTGACTGTGTGGAACACAACAAATTGTGGCAAGTTCTTAAAGAGATGGGAGTACCAAACCATCTTATTTGTCTCTTGAAAAACCTCTGTCTCTTGAAAAACCTCTGTGGGTCAAGAAGCAACAGTGAGAACTGGACATTGAACTACTGATTGGTTCAAAATTGGAAAAGCAGTATGGCAAGGCTGTATATCGTCATCCTGCCTCATCCATCTTCATGATGCAGAGCACATCATGAGAACGGCCAGGCTAGATGAATCACAAGTTGGTATTAAGATTGCCAGGAGAAATATCAACAAACTCAGATATGCAGCTGATATCACTCTAATGGCAGAAAGTGAAGAGGAACTAAAGAGCCTCTTGATGCAGGTGAAAGAGGAGAGCACAAAAGTTGGCTTGAAACTCAACATCAAGAAAACTAAGATCATGGCATCCGGTCCTCTCACTTCCTGGCAAATAGATGGGGAAGAAATGGAGGTAGTGATAGATGTTATTTTCTTGGGCTCGAAGATCACCTCAGATAGGGACTGCAGCCAAGGAATTAAAAGACGCTTGCTCCTTGGGAGGAAAGCTATGGCAAATCTAGACAGCATACTAAAAAGCAGAGACATCATGCTGCTGACAAAAGTTCACATAGTCAAGGCTATGGTTTTCTCAGTTGCGCTGTATGGCTGTGAAAGCTGGACCATAAGGAAGGCTGAGTGCTGA